AGTGTTCACGCTCTGAGTGAAGCCCCTAGCCCTGCTCGGTCTAGTACGTATACGGCCTTATCATGTAGATCTACAGCGTCCACAGATGCGGAACAGGCCTGCACCGCTGACAGGGCTGAGATGGCCCAGCTCCGAGCTGAACTCGCCAAGCTGACGTCCGCTGTGAATGTGATGACCCGTGACACCGGTGCCCCTTCCCAGCGTGGCCGCCAACGAGAGCGTAGTCCCGGGCCACCGTCACGCCACCCAAGTGCCTCCAGGTCTCCCGGCCGTGACAATCACGACGACCTTTGCTGGTATCACCGTGCGTTCGGTGCGAAGGCGAACAAATGCCGAGACCCCTGCCGATTCCTGTCGGGAAACGGGAAGGCCAGCCACTAGTCGCGACCGCTAGTGTGGTTGGCCCCTCGAATACCGCTACCGGTCGCCTACTATTCGTCAAGGATCGCTCCCAGTCCGTCGAGTTCCTTGTCGACACCGGCGCCGCCGTCAGTGTTCTTCCTCCGTCATTCGTAACTCTGTCTCGTCGTGTTCCTCGCAATAGTCCTCGTCTCCGTGCAGCGAATCAGAGCAGCATCGCCACGTACGGTCAGCAGCTGCTAGATTTAGACTTAGGTCTCCGACGCACTTTCAAATGGGTCTTCGTCGTTGCTGACGTCAGCTATCCGATCCTGGGTGCGGATTTCCTTGGCCACTTCCAACTCACTGTCGACCTGGCCGCCAGATGTCTGCGGGACTCCACTACTCAACTTGCCGTTGTCGGATTCGCCTCGGATGTCAGCACCTCCGCTACCAACCTGCTGGACACTGACAGCCCTAGTGAGTATTCTGCCCTGCTGAGTGAGTTTCCTGACCTTGTCCGACCGACCACTGGTGACTCGCCTGTCAAGCACAATGTGACACACCGCATAGTCACAGATGGCCACCCCGTCCACGCTAAGCCTCGCCGTCTGGCACCCGACCGCCTTGCTGTCGCTAAGTGTGAGTTCCAACACATGTTAGATTTAGGCATTATTCGTCCCTCCTCTAGTGCATGGTCATCCCCTCTGCATATGGTGCCAAAGAAATCCGGTGACTGGCGACCCTGTGGTGATTACCGAGCCTTGAATGACTGCACGATCCCCGACCGCTATCCCATCCCGCATATTCAAGACTTTACGTCCCACCTGCATGACAAGATCATATTCTCTAAGATTGACCTCGTCCGTGCATACCACCACATTCCTGTGCACCCTGACGACATCTCGAAAACTGCCATCACCACCCCCTTTGGACTGTTTGAGTTTGTCCGCATGCCCTTTGGCCTTCGCAACGCAGCCCAGACATTCCAACGCTTCATTGACCAGGTAGTTTCAGACCTTCCCTTCTGCTTTGCATATCTGGATGACTTGCTCATTGCTAGCGCCTCACCCGCTGAACATATGGCCCACCTTCGCTGCATATTCTCCCGCCTTGCTTCACATGGCATCTTGATCAACGTCCGGAAGTCGCAGTTCGGCCAGGATGAGCTTGACTTCCTGGGACATCACGTGACTGCCTCAGGTATCCGACCTCTCGACGCTCGCATGACCGCCATTCGTGAATTCCCACAGCCAGCTAGTGTTCGTAAGCTCCGTGAGTTCATCGGCTTCGTCACGTTCTATCACCGATTTCAGCCACATCTTGCTGCTAAGCTCGCACCTCTGCACGCTATGCTTGAGAAACGCCACCGCACCAAAGGCGCGCTCGTCTGGTCCGACTCGGCCATCGCTGCTTTCAATGATGTCAAAGCTGCGTTCACTGAGGCCATCACACTTCACCATCCTCGCCCGGATGCCGCCTACAGCTTGATGGTCGACGCTTCAGACATTGCTGTTGGTGCCGTCCTCCAACAAGAGCTAGATGGTGAGTGTTATCCTGTTGCCTTCTTTTCACGCAAGTTAAAGCCTGCTGAGACACGCTACAGCACCTTCTGTCGAGAGCTCCTCGCTATTTACCTAGCCATTAAGCATTTCCGACACTTCCTGGAAGGGCGTGTCTTCCATGTGTGCACCGATCACAAGCCTCTGACACATGCCATCCACAGCCGTTCACAGACCCACAGCCCGCGTCAACAGCGCCATTTGTCGTACATTGCTGAGTTCACGACAGATATTCGTCATGTCAAGGGTTCTCAGAATGCTGCCGCTGATGCACTGTCACGATGCCACCTACCCGATGAGCCCGTCTCTGCCATCACTGCCATTGACACAGCTTCCTTTGCCGCCGCTCAACAAGATGATCCAGACTTGCCCAGTCCTGGTAAGGATCCATCCACTTCGCTATGCTGGCAATCTATAGCTCTGCCCATGACTGATCACTCGCTCATCTGTGACACCTCTACTGCGTCTGCCCGCCCGTATGTACCTGCCAAGCTGCGCCGTGCTGTTTTCAATTCGCTTCACGGCCTCTCCCACCCTGGTACCCGCGCTACCAGGCACCTGATTACAGCTCGCTACGTCTGGCCCGCGATGAACAAGGATATTAGTGAGTGGTGTCGTACCTGCCACGCTTGTCAGCAGTCTAAAGTTCAACGCCACACCACATCTCCCGTAAGTGCATTCAAGCAACCTGATGCCCGTTTCTCCCATGTCCATGTCGACATCGTAGGCCCGCTTCCATCTTCTAGTGAGTCTCGCTACCTCTTGACGATGGTAGATCGCTTTACTCGCTGGCCCGAAGCAGTACCTATTCCCGACATTACAGCCGAAACCGTCGCTCGCCAGTTCGTTGCCACCTGGGTCGCCCGATTTGGTGTTCCCACTGTGCTCACAACCGACCGAGGTGCCCAATTTGAGTCATCCCTGTGGTCATCGCTCATGTCACTACTTGGCACGTCTCGCATTCGTACAACGGCTTACCACCCTGCTGCCAACGGCATGGTAGAGCGCTTTCACAGACAACTGAAAGCTGCACTCCGAGCTTCCGACAATCCACAGCGCTGGACGGAACATCTGCCACTAGTCCTGCTCGGCATTCGCTCCTCCCTGAAGGCTGACCTCAACTGCTCAGTTGCAGAAATGGTCTACGGTTGCCACCTCCGCCTGCCAAGTGATTTCCTCACTGACGAGCCTGAGCCATTTCCGGATCCGACGTCCTATGTCAGCCGCCTCAAACAAGCCATGTCCGAGCTCCGCCCTACACAACCCCGCAAGCCACCCACCCAGCATCCGTTCATTCCAGCTGACCTCTCGACATGCTCTCATGTCTTCATTCGCACAGATGCAACACGAACGCCCCTCCAACGTCCTTACACTGGTCCACACCGAGTCCTGGAACGTCATGATAAGTACTTCCGCCTCGACCTCAACGGCCGCTCCGACACAGTATCCATCGACCGACTCAAACCCGCATTCCATGACAACCAGTCTGTCGACCATTGCCATCCGACCAAGCCGACGCCATCGCTCGCATTCGACGTGCCTCCGCCACGCCAAACACGAGCTGGTCGTCAAGTCAGATTTCCCGCCTATTTCTGACACTCTCTCGCTTATCCCATTTGCTTGCTCTCACTTTATCGCGCTAGTTATCGCTCATTACTCATTCACTAGGAGGGGAGCTCTGTAGCGTCTCTGACGTTCTCGCATCATGACATCATCATTTGTTTGCATGTACACGTCATATTTTCCTCATCATCACAAACACTGATTCACCATACTCTCGCACACATTGTAATACCTACTACACGTACTTCGCTACCATAATAATTACGTAATGTTTGGCTAGCATAGTTCCAATACACATTACGACATCTTTTGATGTTACGCACTCCTCGCCTACAACGCTATTGTAGAAAAGTAGTCTTTACTCATCTCTTGTAAGTTCTGTTTGCATCCAAACACTTCTTCCAAACAGCACACGTCAGATATCTAACAAAACAACAAACTTCATTGCACAGTCTTCTATCACAATCTCTTTCCTATATAAACCTCCTTTCTCTTCACTTTCTTCATGACATTTAGTGTTCGCCAGTCTTGTAAAGATCTTGGAAACTAACACTCGTTGCACTGTATCTAGACTACTAAACTTGAATCCCAATCGAACTCGCGCACTTCCACCGAAACTGGGTGACTGCGCCCTACTAGATGGGGATTTGTATGCAAAATGTCACTAAAAGCGCCATTTCGTTCTTATAAAAGCACGGATGACCGCGATTGGCCCATATGTTGTAGTCTTTTGGACGCTGAGTCGACTGGTTTTGGTCCGAAAAGGCTGCGATGCAGCGTTCCTCCTTTATTCCCAATCGAACATGGTTGAACAAGCGGTCACGTGCTCCTGGGTGCCCAAATCACCTGGTCACCGCGCCAGCAGGCGAGAACTTTCACACCAAGGTTCAACTCGAGTTCAACTCGAGTGACAGGACTGCACCCAAAAAAGGTCAAACAGGCTAGTAAGTTGTACCCTGCAGGCACGGTGACCAGGTGACTGGTGTACGCAGGAGCACGTGACCGCTTGTTCAACCATGTTCGATTGGGAATAAAGGAGGAACGCTGCATCGCAGCCTTTTCGGACCAAAACCAGTCGACTCAGCGTCCAAAAGACTACAACATATGGGCCAATCGCGGTCATCCGTGTTTTTATAAGAACGAAATGGCGCTTTTAGTGACATTTTGCATACAAATCCCCATCTAGTAGGGCGCAGTCACCCAGTTTCGGTGGAAGTGCGCGAGTTCGATTGGGATTCAAGTAGGAAGGGAGCGTCTCAGCTTCCTCGGACCAAGACCATTCGACTCAGCACCCCAAAGACTACAACTGGTGAAAATTTGATTTTAGGGTATACTTCCCCTTCAATCTCCGGCCTGTATGCATGCATGCTGCCCCCCTCCCCCCCCCCCCCCCCCCCCGGTTATCTGGTTATGTTTGGCAGTAACATGGTAACAGCTGCACGTGCAGCGTGATGGCTCGATCACGTGGACCAGGCCGGTGGACAGATCCTCCAAAAAAAGGACCAAAGCGACTCAGCTAACTCAAACAGTAACTGCTTGCCTTGGACTAGTAGTTGTAGCTAAACAATCCGAACATGATTGTCCATTTCTTTTCTACTAGTACATGTGGTTCTTCCACATCATTGCCTATGATTTGTAGCACAGTCAGTATCAACGGAATCCACTTGCTGCAGCCTGTGTAGACTGAACCCCAATACTGCTCCTCTGACTGGAATCTCTTTCTAACAAACGCTACGACTGACACTCGTGCAAGGCACAAAGAAAGGAGACGTACATGAGCTATTATATGAGGGGTCTACGTCGCTAGCGCTACAGCTGCTAAGAGTGGCGGTGATTGCTACAAGTAGTGCTGACTCAAGCAGTCCTGGTGTTACGCTGCTGCAGATGTGCAGTGCTTCCACCATCTTCATTCTTGGCTACTAGCAGTACTGGTGCATGGTGCCTTTTGGTGGGTAATCACAGCAGGTAGCAGGTCAACTCGAGGGTGTTAGAAGTGTACACTGATATCGTGCAGTGTGGTTTTACAACAGTTAGTTAGGACTCAGCCGCTATGGCACACAGTGGCCAGAGTGAGATCATGGACGAGCAGTTAGACAGGCAAGCCAAAGCGGTAAGCAACTATTATTGTACTAGTAGTAGTAGTACTAACTAGTATATGTGTCCTTCTGGGTTTTGGGCCATTTTTGAACATCCCCGACATGCCATGCCATAACTTTCAATTAACTAACTTACCGTAAAGTGGCGGATAAAAGCCGGGCTTATAAGCACATAAGCCGCTTTCTGCATCAGGCTTTAATGCAAACCATGCTTATATGCACCACTGATAATTTTGCCACGCGTAGATCTACCACTGACTACCGGTATGGCGGCAGTTTTACTATGCCTTGTTCTTAGCGCATGCACTCTTGACCTACCCGATCCGCGCTGCGGCATAGAAGCCAGGCTTATAATTATGCATTTGACCCGTTTGATTTTCAGGCTTCTATCCGCGACGTGCTTGTATGCAAACCCGGCTTTTATCCGCGACTTTACGGTATGCCATAAGCCTTGAAATGAGGGGGGGGGGGGGGGCACTTGGGGTATTTTAATAAACTATTTTTTACACAAGGGAATGGTCTCAAACTGCGGAGAGTGCTCAATGCAAGCGAGGCAGAGTGAATTAGCTCCTCTTATTGAGTTGAGCACTTTCGTCGAAATCTGCAACCATGGATGAACCGTCACGTATGAACCTGGGATACTCATTGAAGAACATTCCGTTGCCATCGCCAAAGGAGTACAAGAAGAAGCTTATCGAGAAAGTCGAGGACGTTATCCGCCGCATGAGGTGGAAAGCCATCTTCTTTCTGAATGGCCAGGACAGCCAAGAAAAGAACACATACGGATTCAGAACGAAGACCTGCCCCCAGAAGGTCGCGGAGTTGAAGGCTTTCGAGGAGGATATGTACACCATGATCGAGACCGTGAGCTTCCGCAATGCCGACAACGACCTCCAGCAGCGCATGAAGGATGACCTACGGTCGGTAAGGACTTCGAGTGACATTATTGTTCCTGCTGATAAAACGAGGAACCTGTACCGCATGTCTGCCAACAAGTATAACGTATTGCTCACCGAAAATGTCACAAAAACGTATAAACATGCAACTGATAGCGCCGACAACGAAATCAATAGTGAAGCCAAAGTTATCGCTGAGCGGTTGGAGATTGATGACCGAGTAAACGTCTTGGCGAAGTCGGAAGCATTCATCACATTAAAAGATCACAAAGAAAACTTTGAAAAGAAACTCCCATGCCGCCTCATCAACCCCGCCAAACCCCAGCTAGGCGTTGTGAGCAAGGAAATTTTGGAGTCCGTCACTGAGCCTCTGCGGAGCCACGTCAATCTATGGAAGAACACGCACGCCGTCATTGATTGGTTTAATGGCATCCAGAACCCAAGGGAGTGTTCGTTCGTCGTGTTCGACATAGTAGAATTCTACCCGTCCATCTCCGAGGAACTGCTGAAAAGTGCCCTGGAGCATGCAAGTAGTAATGCCCTCACCCGAAAGAGCAACGTCGATATCGTGATGCACGCCAGAAAATCACTGCTTTTCGCGGGTGGTCGAGCATGGATGAAAAAGGACAAAGACGAGATTTTTGATGTTACCATGGGATCGCATGATGGGGCGGAAGCCTGCGAGTTGGTTGGCGCTTTCATCCTCAGTAAGCTAGTGCCGATCTTCGGGAAAGAAAACGTGGGTCTCTACAGGGATGATGGCTTGGCCATACTCCGAAACGCTAATGGCCACCGCGCGGACCGGGTCCGTAAGGATGTCATTGAGGAATTCAGGAAGCTCGGCCTGAGAATAACAATAGATACCAACATGAAAGCCGTGAACTTCCTCGACATTACCATGAACATCGCAACCGGCATCTACAAGCCCTACAGGAAGCCTAACGACACGCCACTATATGTCAACACAAAGTCCAACCACCCGCCTAGCGTGATCAAGAGCATACCTGTTGGCGTCAACAAGCGGCTCGTATCAATCTCATGCACCAAGGAGGTCTTCGAGCAAGCGCGGCCGCTTTATGCCGATGCCCTACGCGCAAGCGGTCACGCAAGTGAACTGTCGTTCCCTGATGAAGACCAACCGGCACCGGCAGCGGGCAGTCGTCTCAAGAAGAGAAATCGTGACCGCAGGGTTATCTGGTTCAACCCGCCATATAGTGCGAGTGTGGCCACAGGCATCGGTGCACGGTTCCTGAGCCTCATCCGAAAGCATTTCCCTAAGGGCAGCAAGATGCACAAATTATTCAACAGGAACACTGTGAAGATCGCATATAGCTGCATGCCGAATATGGCCCGACTCATTAAGGCCCACAACAAGAGAGTGTTGCACCCACCAACACCGGACAAGGACTGCAACTGCAGGATCAAGAACTCGTGTCCACTCGAAGGAAAGTGCCAGGCGGACAACGTCATCTACCAGGCCATGGTGTCGGACGACACCCGTAACGCCAAGGTCTATACCGGCATGTCTGCGCCGCCTTTCAAAGCTCGCTACTCCAACCATTTGACTACACTCAGGCATGACCGCTATGAGAATTCCACCGAGTTGTCAAAGCATGTTTGGTCGATGAAGCGGGACAACAGACAGTACGCCATTGACTGGAAGATCCGCGACAGGGCCACCTCGTTCGATAACACGTCCAAGAGATGCGGCCTCTGCACTACCGAGAAGTATCACATCCTCGAAACCGACGCCCGCACTAGGCTAAACAAGCGAAATGAGATTGTGTCAAAATGCAGGCACGAAAGCAAGTATGTCCTATCAAATTTTGTGCCAATCACATAAGGACAGTGATTATTCTATGGCCTTGGTAGCGCCTCTATATCTGTTACCTGGCATGGCACCACTCTGCGCTATCACCTTTCCCTAGGCACTCTGTGCAATGCATCATGAAGAATGGGCTGGTCACACCCCGCAATATCATCACCCTCATCTAGCACCTAGGCACTCTGTACAATGCATCATGAAAAATGGACTTGTCACATCCGGGACCCGACATAATGATAATCTTCACACTCCATAGTGACGGAGTTCACACCTTCTGAGTATATAACCAGTGTATCATACTTTGTTTGATCATCCATCTGATGATCCGTTGCTTGAACGGTGAAACACTGTGTAATGGAATTTGATCTCTGACGGTTTTTCCGCTTGTGTGTAAACTATTTTTTATAAAGGAAAACTCCGGTAGAAAGATGAATGATATCATATTTTCCGGAGTATAAGCCGCACCCAGATTTTTGTCACGAAATACAGACATCCACCCTGTATATCACTGTTCATTTGACCATCGTGGTATAAGCAGCACTGACCTTTTTTTGGGTGAATTGCGAATGTTTAAAGTGCGGCTTATACTCCGGAAAATACGGTAACTGATAAGTTCTGGGTCCATAGAGTTTGGGGCACTGAGCTCAAAGGTCTTCGTCCAAGGAAATCACGATGCATTGACGAGATCGAACTTCCATGTGCATTCCACCACCTTCCGCTGAGCGAGTCAAAGCAGACAGCTTGAAATGCAGTTTTCGAGTGCAAAGAACACGGTGCGTTGCAGTCTCTTCGACCCAAGATCATTTGACACAGTGACGGTCCAGACTGAGACGAAGTGTTGGGAAAAATGTTCACTTTTACTCGTTCATGACAACGTTAGTACATGTATGCCATATTTCCAGCACTATAGTATAAAAAAGCACGCCCTGCACGGCTGCATTGCAACTACATGTAGAATTGCAGATGCACCTACTGTACAAACTTGTCACCCCAGGGTACTACTGGTACCACCACTCATCGCACCAATCCTGTAGTTTTACATTCACCTTTTCAGTCACATGACTGTGCTCGTTACACACTCACAGCCATCAGGCGCGTGCCCCGTATGGGTTCCTGGGTGCCCGGAACCCCCCTTTTTTCGCTCAAAATGCAGGATTTTGCTTCATTTTTTGAAAAAATTCCGGGGAGGTCCCCCGGAACCCCCCCCCCCCCCCTTGAAGGGCACCGTCGCACACGCCTGGCCATAACATTCTTTGCCAAGCCGGTACTACTGGTAAGATAAGCTATGAAGAGCCATTGCAACTATGCTATCGGGACACTGTGTGCTGTTGTCGTTGAAATGCACACAGGCTGTTGACAAGGCCCGTCACAGTTTCAACATGGGCAAAGTCAAGACGTACGAGCAGAGGCTGTTCTACTTGCGGCAGCTGAGGAAGTTTGTCATCGAGGAGACGGAGGCCATTACGCAGGCTGCAATGGCTGACGTCAATCGAGTAAGTCCTGGCCTTGCTACATGTAACTCTGATGGTTCCTTATGTCCACCTCAAAACAACCCAATGCTAAGGTGCCTATGTGCGGCACAGAATTTTCAAGATTACAAATGTACCTTCATGGATTTAGATCAGATGATTTTAAATTCGATGACCTGGTGACAGTGGTATTGAAACGCTGAACTGCAAGTATTAGAGTAACTCAGCGGCGAGTGACTGTGGAGTGAGTAATGTCAAGCATAACACAGCATTGATAACGAAGTGCTGCCAGTCACAGTGTGGTAGTAGGGACTAACACTGGCGAGAAGTAACAGGTACACGAAGCATGATGACGTCACGGCATGATGTGCAGTTGTGCCGTGGCTGGGTGAAGTCTGACCCAAAAGCGCATCGTATTTGGAGCGCTGGACTTGACGGCCCTTGATGCCGTGGTATTAGGCTGCAACCACACTAGGTACAAAATCACGTACAAACGGCATTACAGTAGAAATCGTCATGCCGACGCGTGCGAAATGCAAAATGCGCTTTGTAGGTTTTCAGCAACTGGCGCACCCCTGTAGAAAGCCACGTTTGTCGTTTTCGCGCTCCTTCTCCTGTGTACAACTTTGCTTTTGTACCGGGTCATCGTACATAGCATCAGCACCACCATTGTTTTTGAATTATTTCCCGGTCTTTTCCAGCGTATGGCACACGCTTTGGTACGACAACGTCACGTGCTGGTCCCGTGAAAACGTCATCTATGCAGACCGAAAAGTGTAGTGTGGTTGCGTACCGACTTGCACTGAGATATGCATGAAAATTTGTACTGTGGTTTTTACGTAGTGTGGTTGCGGCCTTAGTACGAAAGCTGATGCCGGGTGTGCAGTGATGTAGTTGGAACCGGTACCTGAGGGTGCCAGCCGGCCAGCGTTGTGTTTTGAATCGGATCTCACCTAGCACAACCAAATTGTTGTAGCCTCAAGCGGGTCAGACTGTCACGATGCAGTGTTATGACTTGTTTGCTGTGTGATGTAGCTCGATATGTGAGTAACAGTTTCCCATGTACACAAGCAAATGTGCATGCATGCGCGCGCGCGTGTGTGTGTGTGTGTGTGTGCATGCACATGTATATGTGTTATTGCTGTTGTTGTTGTTGTTGCTGATGTTGTTGTTGTCACTGCATCTGTCATGGTTTGCTGCCTGTCTCCATTCCGTTTCTTGGCAGTGTCGGAATGAGAATAGTCTAACGGTGACTGTGGCAATGCTTACCGAGATCAATAACGCCATACGGAAGCTAGCAGATTGGATGAAGCCAAGGCCCGAACATCCCAACCTTGTAAGAGCATTCCTCACCTGCCTTCAAGAGTTGAATTGAGTTGAATTTTGCAAGATAATATCTCATGTCACTTATTGTATTCAAGGATAGTTCAGGAGCGTGAGAGACGAACTATTCTATCATTTCCTGGGGCAATTATTTGAATGCCACAACTTTCAGGGCTAATTTTTTGGTCTTCCTGAAAAACTGGTATTGTGAACTTGATTCCACTTCTTTCAAGGAGTAATAATTGAAAAGAAGTCCCGAAAAACGAGAAATTACTTCAAATTAGGTCCGAAAGTCACCCCAACGCGGACCGTGCCTTATGACCCGCGCCGTTCGACGTTGAACATCGCAACGACTGCTGCATGTCATGTCGTACGAATTATACAGGATTTTACAGCTCGCCCCAGCCGCCCCGACAGGCCCTAACGTCCTGTACCGTCAGTGTTGCGTCGAATGTGAACTAACACATGCATCGCGTACATGTGTAGCAGTGAGCATGTGAGTGTGAGGATTGATTGCAATTTCTAATTCGAAGAACATGCTACACCAGTTATAGACAACGTGAGGTTGAAGAGATCTTTCTGGGTGTGGTAAGGACGAACTGGACGGGATTTTTATTGAACTATTGAGCCTACAGTTTCTCATAGCGTGCATGCTCATTGGTTTTATCCTTCAGGTGTGCATTTTCGATACTTTGGAAGTGCAGTCACAGCCACTGGGTGTGGTTGCCATTTTCGGACCCTGGAACTATCCATTGACACTAATTGTTCGACCCCTGGTGGGCGTCATTTCTGCTGGTAAGTCCTTTCACCTTTACATCAGAGCGCTAGCTGCTGCGCTGGCTGCTGCGCTGGCTGCTGCACTGGCTACTGTGCTGGCTGCTGCGCTTCATGTCCTGTTGTGACACACTCAGACTGTTGTATAACTTATTATGCAGTGGTCCTTGGAACAAGTCAATGCCTGGTATGGTCGGATTGTATCAGGTAAATGTTACAGAGTATGAGTTGTACATAGCTTGATAGCGGATGATTTCAGCAATGGACCTGTATCCGATGTGCTTGTTGTATGTTGCTTGTAAACAGGTAACACCGCTGTTCTGAAGCCGTCAGAAGTAGCACCAGCCATGGAACGAATTGTTTCCGAGAAGCTCCCCCTTTACCTGGATCCTGTAAGGCCCTGATGTGTCTGTTTGTCACTGGATCAGTGTGGCGACTGGATCACACTGATATGTTTGTATGTCAGCGGGCTGTGGAGACTGGGCCTCTCATATGGTGCAGTGGTATGTGCAGCGATTTCCAATCGATAGGTTGCGGGTTCGATTCCCGACAATTATGGTCACACACGTCTTTCTTCTCTTTCTCAGACTCCTGACTTTTCTTTCATTCTCCTGGGTGGTTACCAACAGTCAGTGCATGCCGGAGTATGTGGTGTGATGTGTGTGCGGGGAAAAAATGAAAAAGACCAAAAAGTAGGGAGTCACTGGCCAGAAAATGCCACTTCACGGCATAGCTGTGTGGTGTAGACCAGGCTGAATAGTGGCGGTCAATTCATCAAAGCTGTTGAATGGTGCAATCCCAGCACAAGCTGCTATGGCTTCTGCCGTAGCATCGCTATCATTGCCTCCGGCGATGGGCGTCAAAAGGTAAAAAGGAGACTGGGCTACACTCCGCATTGTGATACAGGGCTGTGGGGTTTGCCAACTGCCAGGTGTAGACTGTGAATGGGTGTGAAGGACGGTGAGATGTGATGATAACTTCAGGGCCCGGGAAATGCGGGAATGACCGTCATTTTTACAGTGGCGAACTTTTCAACAACAGGACTCTGCCTGTCTAAAGGCTGGCTCAGTACCACCGACGGTGATGTTGCCATTGCACAAAGACTGGAGCAGGGACATCAGATTTGCAGCATTGCAGCACTGACATTCGTTGCTGAAGAAGACGCGGGAATACGTCGCAGGAAACATCTGAATGCATTAAAAATTATAAAAATTCACAGTCCGCGTCAGACTCGGCTTGAGGCCGAGTTTTCCGCATCAGTAGGAACGCCACCACCCTTCAAGGATCAAGGCGCAGATGCAGCTCCTAAAGCGGTGGAAGGTAAGGAGATCAGACCCACCAATGTGGTCAAAGACCGAAAATCCCATTCACTGCACCCATGCTTCGGAATGCATTAGACCATGAGTTATTTTTCCCAAACTGTTCCTGTTTTCGTTGTTGCAGGACTGTTTCCCTGTTGTGACTGGTGGTGCTCCTGTGGCTACTGCACTGCTAAAGCAACGTTTCGATCATATTTGTTTCACGGGCTCTGCGGCCATTGGACGCATTGTGATGCGAGCAGCGGCTGAGCACCTGACACCATGCACACTGGAACTGGGTGGCAAGAACCCGCTGATAGTGGACGACTCCGTCGATCTGAAAATGGTGGCCCAGCGCATCATGTACGCGAAGAGCTTGAATGCTGGGCAGGTAAGTTGGAATTGAGGGGGATGGGGGGGGGGGGGGGGAGGAGCGGGCTGTGAGATGTGTTCCCTACCCATGCAAGGGGTAGATTAGTTGTTTTCAATGTTGGATCCATGTAACGTTTTAAAGAGATGTCACTGAGCGGACATGATGGGAAACTCTCTGGGAATCCCATTCTAGTGGTATGGTTTCCAGACGACTGCTCCCTACGGTGCTGTACTGCAATGGCATTCAGGATCATTGAATCTAAGTTGGGGCGACCACCTGACTAGAACGTGTCAACTTCATGCTAGCATGGCCCGGGTGGAGATTCACACCAGCTTTCCAGTGCTGCAGGCCCGGAGGAACCGGCCCAGTCGGTCAGGCCATGGCCAGACCAGCTTTGGCATTGGCCACTAATGTGTGTTTACCGCTGAAGAGGTCATGTTTACACCCTCCATGTCATACACAACGTATAACAGGCTAGGGTGTGGCCGGGCCAATCAAAAACTGCCTCCGCCGGTCCTGTGCTGTCAGACCTACTGCTGCCCAAGCTTGTCATTGGGTCACTCATCTCCATTTGTCTGCCATCAGATCTGTTTGAACATCGACTATATCATCTGCGCAAGAGCGCTACAGCGCCCACTCGTCCAGGAACTACGGAAAGCAATCAGATTGATGCATGGCGAAGTAAGTCACTCCATTTTGCTTCTCTCCTCTCCTTTGTAGTTTATTCTTCCCCAGTTCTACCATCATACCACACAGGCTCCTGTCCCGCGATCCTTATTTCATTCTAATCATTATCCCACGGCCCCGCTCATCCACTCACACCGGCGCATGCCACTTTTAATAATAAAACTTCCAGCCTGCTTCTGATTTTGCGATTTAAACCTGAAATGTGACCAGCGATCTGATATCAACAAATTCAGTTAACAAGCCCATGCCGTTGGTTTGGCCTGCTGATCCTTCTTTCTATTTTTCAACATGAACGTTACTGGTGTTCGCATTCATTTCTGTGCCTCTTCAGGACATGAAGGAAAGTAAAAACTACTGTCGCATTGTCAACGAAAGGAACTACGAGTACGTGCTAACTAAGTCTGGTGTTCTGTAGCCTGCTGCTGTCTATCGATGGTGCATGTCAACCTAATACATTGGTACACCTTGGTGTTCTGCAGCATGCTGCTGTCTATGTGAATGCATACCACCAACCCAATACATTGGTACACCTTGGTGTTCTGAAGCCTGCTGTCTTTCTGGGTGCATGTCAACTTGATGCACTGACCTTGGTGTGCCTGGATGTCAAAGTTCTGCCACTCGCCTGAAGGACCAGTAGAATGTAATGTAGGTCCGCTTCTAATTTCTTTTCCATTGGCGCCTCTTGATGAGAGGATCACAGTTGTATGAGCCAGAGCAATAATGCTTATTTGGCGCATACATATCCAACGAATTAAGATGTCAAGTGCGCTGTCTGTATATCCAATGATCTTCTCTTGTGACAATGGAAATGATTTTTGTTTCTTTGTGCTCCTCGGATGAAGTGCAGCCGTCTCTCCGGTATGTTGGAAAGAACAAAGGGCACTGTCGCTATTGAGGGTGGTATGGACAAGGACAGCCTCTTCATGGGTATTACAGTCGTGACTGACGTTGCTGCAGACGACTCCTTGATGCAAGATGAGGTGAGTAACTTATGACGTGGATACATGTGCATGTAGGTCACTACCGCACTGGATACAGAGGATAGCCCAGGTCTTGTGTGAGTTTAATGTCAGCTTGATCTGCTGTAAATCATGCTGCATACCAGCGTGTGTACACTCCCATTGAGTCTCTGTATCGTCCCAGCCGCATGCCATCCTATTCATGATGTGAGCTACCCCGTCCCGACTATGGCATTGTGCTTGTGCAGATATTTGGACCGATACTGCCCATCCTACCGGTGGAAACCATGACCAATGTTGTATCCTACCTCAACAAACGGTGAGTGTGGCCTATGCTGTGCTTCTAGTGCTAGTATGTTTTGAACGGAAGGGATGCAGCGCTAGCGTAGTGTGAGTTCAGCACCCCGCTCATGCACACTTGTCTGCACATGTAGTACCAGTGCTGCTGCTGCTGCTGCTGCTGCTGCTGGCACATGTATGACCAGTGAATGAGTTGAGAATCGTCACTTTTATCTTGTGCAAAGGGCCTATGTCCGGTTCTGTCACACTCACTTGTGTTCTTACAGCTGCTGCATTAGTCAGCCACCTCACTGTGCAGGGTTTTTCGGTTTTGTTCCATCCCCGTTTCGTTCCTGTGATTGTGCGGTACCTGCCATGCAGAGAAAAGCCACTTGCCCTGTACATCTTCTCCAAGCGAAAGTCAAACATTGACCTGATAACGCACAACACGTCGAGCGGCGCTGTGCTCGTCAATGACGCCATAATCCACTACATGTGCGTCAACACGCCGTTTGGTGGAGTCGGTCAGAGTGGCACTGGCTGCTACGTGGGAAAGGCCGGCTTCGACAACTTCAGCCATCGCCGCGCTTTCATGCATCACCCAGCCGGCTTGGAGATCCTTTATGAATGGTACGTTGCGTTAGTTTAAACTGCACTCGTTTACTTTGGAGTGTCTTCTAACTCGAAATGTCCCCAGCTCTGAATCACATATTTTGACGGGGAAAGGCCAGGGATATGGCGTACCGGTATGATGCCATCACTATTTCCACAAAAACTCAAGAAATGACAAAAGAGTAGTAAAATGTCCACTAACACTCGCCGAAAGGGTGCTCGGTAGACCGAAGCCGAGTGTAGTGTGTCAAGTGAGCAATCAGATTTGCTCACTTGTGACTGATGTGTCACAAAAGAACGAGGAAGTTGAGCAGCTCACTGCCAAGCATACTGCCCTCACCCAGCAAATGGATTCAGCCCATGACAGAATTGGTCATCAAGAGCAAGACATTGCAATGTACACAGGTCAATTGCAAGAGTCTCAGCAGGAGTGTAAACGTCTCGAAGAAAAGCTGGAGTGCATGTTGCAATCGGAATCCGCAGCACAACAACAGTCGGACAAACTCCGCGAGGAGATGAGCACTGTCTCAAATACACTGGCTGCAGCAGAGGCATCACGCCAAGAGCTCGCAGAAGTCTTCGAGCAATCTCTTGCAGACAAGCAGCAACTAAGTGAGAGCTAGCACAGGCAAGAGATACCTTGAACAGTACGCACGCTGGTATGGCTGCTGGCCTGTCATCATCCCAGGACTTAATCAAGCGTCTTCAAGGCCAGGTGCAGGAATCTGTGTCTGACATGAAAGTTGCAGAAGATGCCTGGCAGCTGGAGAGGCAGGGCATGGCCGATCGCCTTGCAGAGGTACAGAAGGTCCGCACGGATTTGCTGGAGCGGCACTTACAGTCCTGCTAGTGCCTTGGTGAGCAGCTAGCAGCAGACAAGCAAGAGCTGGAAGCGCTTCAAGAAGACCGGGAAAAGTATAATACTGAGCGCAGTCGAATAGAGTCAACGCTTGCACAGGAACGAGAACTTGCAAGTCAAGCCCAGGAGCAGTGTTCAATGCTGTAAAATAAATATGAGAAATAACCGGCGTTATGCTGAAGAAGCAGCTGCTCTGAAGGAGAAACTGGAATGTGGCCAGCCTGAGCTACAGCAAGCATTGTCTGGAATCAACAGTGCTATGGTATTGTTGGAAAGTGAACGAGAGCGTGTGACGACTCTGGAGCAAGAGAACATTAATGGATTAGCTCAAATCAGACAGTTGGGAGTTCACAAAGAACTCTCGTAGAACAGATTTGGATACGTGACGTCAAAAGAAAATGAAAGGGTCAAGAGTAGAAACCTAACACGGCTTCTAGCAGACACACTAGTGACTAAGTCACTACACTTCGGTTTCCGGATACCGGTAACTGAGGTATGAGCGTACTCGTGACTTGAAGGTTGCGAAGTTCAACGTTTGCAATTTGGCACCCTCGCTTCACACGAATACATGTAGCAAAATAGCAAAATATCTCATGTTGCACACAATACCCAATTAATCGTATAGGTAAGGTCTGTGTGGAGCTATGGGGACATATTTGATGCCGATGGGAAGTGTTGGGTCGATTGCCTAAACCATAATTTGGATGACTGCGTGGAAGCTTGCATGCTTTCTCTTGTGTGTTCAGGTACCAATGTTTGGTACGTGTATTAGGTGGCTTGTTGAGATAAATCTGATGCATCCTCAGGCCCACCGTTGCTCTTTTGTCCTGGTGTAGGTTTCGATATCACCCGCAGTCAAACATTGGGCTGAAGCTGGTGAATACGTTCGTTCAAATCTACCCAGGCGAGTACCGCTGGCGAGCGCTGGCTGTGCTGCTGATGGTAGCACTGCCCTTCTTATGGGCTCGGCTCAGAAGGTGAACCGGCGGCTACCCTGGGACAGTATTATAATGTGTGCAAGCTAGCATCGGTGATGTTTGCAGTGTGGACTCTGAACCGAAAACAGGTTAGCATCACTGATGGTGTCTGTGGTGTTGGCAATAGACCGAAAACAGGTTGGCAGCATCAGTGATGCCTGTGAAACTGACACTGAGCCTAAAGGGTTAGCATCCGTCGTGTCTGTGGTGCTGGCGCTCACCCCAATGGATCTACTTGAAACTAGGGTGTCCTGTCCGGGGGCGACGACCATCTGGCTTGTGAGTTGCAACTCCTGGCGAGTGCAGTCAATACCAAACTCTGCCGTACCCCCCCCCCCCCCCACACACACACACACACTGCAGCCATGCATCCGTTGCATCCCACATATAAAGCAACCATATTGATATTCGTGTTAGTGTGATTTAAAAACCGCTGTGAACACTGTATGATTATTACTACTACTACGTTTTTTATCATTACTGGATGGAGTGTGCCACAGCCAATTGGAGCGTGGCTAGGGAGACGCATGGAAGCCAGGCAGCATTAGCCCTGTAGACTGCCATTGGCGCTAGTATATTTTCTTTAAAGAAGTAACTATTTTAAAAGCCACTTTACATGTACTTGAGTCATGACAGGTGCACTGTACATTGGAATTCGAGCATGTACTGTTTGATAGTGCATGGTACATGAGAACTCAGCTAGTTGACAGCTCGAGTGCGATGATCCGGATGCATTACATGATTTACAATCATACTTGTCAAAATCAATATCCGATCATTATTCTTTATTTTCATTACGTTTAAAATAAGTATCACTATCTCGAGTGCTAGCTTGTGTATACACATAGAATGTAATCGGTACGCTTTGCAGCTTGCTATGGTCATGATGTTGCACTTAACTGCACATCTCTCTGTTGCAACACTAGTCACTAGTATCATATGGCGTGCAGTAGTAGTGCGCACTGGTGAGCTGATCGGTGCCTGCGGCAGTGAGTAAAAAAGAGTAAATTATCCTGTCCGTTCCCAAAGGGAACTCACGACGGCCGCTAACACCCGGTAAACCCTAGCGGCAGATGCGGCGCCTAACGGTGGGGGTGGGTGCAGTGAGTACATGTACGTGACGGAAATTCCTAGTCTGTGCGTATGCACAACATGCGTAGGCAACCAGGAACATATCAAGGTGCCATCTGCACAGCCACTCCACAGTGTAGATTGCACACATGATTATCTTGTGTCTATGCTCCAGTGTCTGCTCTAGGATTGTAGGACAGCCGGGTACACGTGTACCGGGCGCAACCATTTCAACCGGGTCGGAGCCGGATACACAATGATATAAAGGCGAATGGATAAGCCGCATTTAGAAAAGAGAGGACAGGAATTAGAAAATTACGAAAAAAGAAGAAGTATCTGACACATACAAGCCATGTAGTCAGTCCTTTCAAAGTTCGAAAGTGTAAAGTACCAACCGGGTCACAGGTGACCCGGTACTATATTTTCAACCGGGTCCAAGCGCCGCCCAACCGGGTGGATTACCCGGCTCACCCGGTGCTGGAGCAGACACTGTGCTCTACAGAGCCTGCAGCACCCCATCACCACCGCTGCGTTGCATTTGCAGCCCCATTCAGTCAATGTCTTGTTAGTCTGTTGTTTTGTCATTTCCTGCTTCTTTCTTCTTTTACGAATTGGGTGCGTGGTTTCAAGTATATTAAAAAAAAAACAAAAAAACAAAAGCAGTGGTATGGTGCCGGTGTTGCCATCATGTCCGGCCTCATGGAGGTGACGGCTCCGGGGCGTGTGCAGCCCTAGCTTTGCGAACACTGGACTGTGCAGCGTGAACCATGCATGGGGAACACAGCTCTGGTATAAATCATGAAGCTGACATGAAGTGAATGTGAGGCTGCTGAAGTGAGCGCTTTCGCCAAGAAACGATGTGCTTTTGGAACCCAGATTTGGAAGGTCTACAATGTGATCAGTGGTCTATGCAGCTTATGATCTGCAGCATGCTGTCCCCAAACACGACCTTGTCCGGCGATGCCATAATAATAATAATAATATTATGCTTGTGTGCATAAATCGGTCCTACCCCAAGCTGCAAGGGTGACTGGAGCGTTTGGTGTTTACAATCATAGTTCATATCTGTGTTGTAACCGGTAACCCCGGACACTTGCCCTGTGTCTTCCTGGTACGCCCCCCCCCCCCCCCCCCCACACACACACACGTAGACCTACTGTCTAGTACTGACTACTGTGTTGGCTCCCCGGTAGGGCCCCACGCCCAGGTCCAGGAGTCATGGTGCAGCCTAGACAGTCTGTGTTTCGAGCATCCCTACATAAATATACATTATAAGATATGGCTGAGTGAATTATTATTTGTACTCCCGGAGCACTACATACCGGTAATACTAATAAAGTAATAGTGCTCGAACAGCCCAAACAGCCCCAACATCAAAAGGGATACGAACTAACAGTGACACGTACATGTACACTCCGTTTCCAGGGCGAAAAACACCTCTGCATCAGGCCCCAGGTAGATCTACGCAGCGAGGGTCAGAGTCGCTCACGGAGTGGTGTAAAACAGACGCTGCATGAGCTGCAGGTGCGGATTCACAACGATGTTGCTCTTTCTCTCTATACAGCATTCTGCTCCTTTTTCTTGATAGCGCTATTGAGTATTGTGGTGTGAAAGACGAAATTGTTACTGTAACTGCGAACTAATACTTCGGAAGGCGTGGAGAGCATGAATTGTAGTACAATGTACAATGTATTCTAGACCATCTGTAGCGTCGTTACACTGAGCGAAGTTTGTTTAGTCACAATCAATTCATGTAGAGCTGCCTGCAGGCAAGTGTAGCACAATCATCGTCATGCAACTCACTACTGTGATTCCGTTATGATAATAATGTGACAGAGCTTTCATGATTGTATGGTGACAGACTTTTCTGGTGCTAGTTTACCATGGTTTTACTTTTACTAAGTTTTAGTCATGTATCCACTTCTACACTTTTTCTAGTCTTTAGTACAGTACTTGTACATGACGGTCTCTTTGAAAGACTTTGTCTCGGCTGAACTAATGCAGTAAAACTGCATGAAAGCTAGGTTGCTTCCTGTACTAGCTGTAGATCGACGAGGTCTGTAGACTGTGTAGTGTAGACTGAGTCTGTAGTCCCAGTCATTTGTACAAAGTCATGCACAAGTCATGATGACTGTAGCAGTGCTATGTCGTTTTTCCATCATCGCCATCGCCGCATCGGCGTTCCTGGTCGACTTGGTGGTCCCGTCTCAGTGGTGCGGATCTGTGCTGGAGTATCTACCACCTTGGCCATGTCACTTACAGCCTCGAAGGCATCGGCCTGTAGCGCCGATACAGCCCTTGTCCTGGAGCAAAGAATGAAGCAAGTAAGTACCATTATCACACGGAAACTCCGGCAAATAGGGAGGACCGAAAAGAAGTGGTGCGGCTGAAACTAGGATTCGATACAAGACGAGCTAGTCAAGAGACACGCCAGCTTTATTTTTAGTGATGGGTTTTACCATGTTTACTGTGCATGTGAAAGTCGCGGAGCGATAACGTTTAGCGTCTGTACCGCCCCCGGCCCGGAGTACTTCTCAGTTATACTTATACTTATAGAAATACCGCGCCGGTGCACAACAATCTGCGACGAAAAATAAAATCTCACTCACTGCTTGTAGTTGTAGTCTTCAGGGTGCGGAGTCGAATGGTCTTCATGGTCTTGGTCCGGGGAAGCTGAGACGCTCCCTTCCTCCTTTATTCCCAATCGAACTCGCGCACTTCCACGGAACCTGGGTGACTGCGTCCTACTAGATTATAACGTTATGGGCATTTATATGCAGAATGTCACTATTAGCGCCACACATTTTTATTTCGTTCTTGTAAAAGCACGAATGAACGCCCATGTAGTCTTTTGGACTGGTTTTGGTCCGAGAAGGCTGCGCGCGATGCAGCGTTCAGCCCTTATTCCCAATTGAACAGTCACTTGCTAATGCGTACACCAGTCGCCTGGTCACCATGCCTGCAGGCTACAACTAATTACTTTCACACCAAGGCTCAGCTCGCCCGCTAACACTAACAGGCTCTTTAGATGGATAATGAGTGATATGCCTTGGCCTTATGTATGCATGTCTGAACAGAACTAATTACTTGGACAAGCGCCACTATCCCGGCACAATGGCCCCCGGGCCTTCCCCTTTGAAACGTATATGATTCAGAGTCACAGACATATCAAAGTTATGGGCAGTGCCTGGTCGCGGAACCCCGGATAAGAGGGATAAGAGCAACATGAGATGATGAGTGTAAAGTAAGACTTGCAGTGAAACCTGTCTAAGACCACCGCTGCTCAAGCACCGCTGCTCAAGCACCGCTGCTCAAGCACCGCTGCTCAAGGGAACTTCAAAATGTGGTCTCTGTTGTCAGGTGGCCTCCTTATCCAGGGTCGTTTGACTGGAAATAGCATCCCTTGGTCCTGGTTACAGTGGTCTTCTGGGGCAGGTGGTCGCCTTATCCGAGTGATCACCTTGACAGGTGTTTTACTGTAGTGTAGTGTGTAGGTGTGTAGCCATCACTGATCACTGATCGGTGATCGGTGATCACCGATCACTGATCACTGATCACTGATCACTGATCACCGATCACCGATCACTGATCACCGATCCCACTGATCACTGATCACCGATCACCGATCACTGATCACCGATCCCACTGATCACTGATCACCGATCACCGATCACCGATCCCACTGGTGCCAGGACTGATGATGTAAGTTCGTAGCCGCTCCCCGCCAGTGTGCTCAGGGACTTTTGCCAAGTTAGTTTAATTCCGCATGATCGCCATGATGTGTTATGTCGCGGGCCATAATGCCGGCATCCTGGCTGTGCTATGTGTTTGTAAGGCTGTTGACAGGGCCAGGCAGAGCTTCCATGCGGGTAAACTCCGGGAGCACGGGCAGCGCATCTTCCACCTCGAGCAGATGCGGAAGTTTCTTGTAGAGGAGTTCAGTACACTCCTGCAGGCTGGAATTGATGACTTTAAAAGAGTAAGTTTAACAGCATGGTTACTACCACCTAGGTCTCCTAGTGTAACATTCCTTGAAACATTACATCATTCTACTTAAGTAAGGAGCTGTGCTACACAAACATACCGGTACATTGGGTCGGTGGCGTGACTCTGTCTGACCCAGAGCAGAGTAAGGTTAAAATCACAACTGCAACGGAAGAGTAGTACTGTACGCTTGTTTTTATTGCTGCGATAAAGTAACTCTTCTTGTGGGACTCAAGACGGTGTAAGTGCTCATACTACTACAGTAGGTATCGGTTATAGCGTGGGTGTTTGAAAAACGACTTTCTATTCTTATTGCCGATATTTCTTACACACGATAAATCAAGTGTGACATATCATGTGCATGTGCGCAGAGGCAGGAAGATGATCGTATATGCAATGTAGTGCTACTGTGCATGCGACTGGTCATAGTCACATAGGCTTACCATGTGGCGATGCAACTTGAGTTACATGACCGCAACAGTTGAATCTGCAGCACTACGACTCAACGCGAGTCGGATCAGAACTGCATTGGACGGATGTTATTACTACAGGCGATATACAGTGAAACCTGTCTAAGGCGACCCCTCAAGGGACGAGAAAAAGTGGTCGCCGTGGCCAGGTGGTCTTCTTATCCAGGTTCAGTGGGTCACGTGACCATATCCACATGTGATACACCATTTTGATCAGTGCATCACAGCGCACACACCGATGCTACTCTAGCCCGACTCGTGTGCCTGGGGTCCTCAGACCTGTCAAATGTCGTGCATGCACCCTGTACATCTACACTTCCTGCACTGATGTGTAGATCTACCATGCCTGGTGCACCATGCAATGCATACATTTACATGACTAGCACTGTACAAAGCGGTCGCGGGTGGGTGGTCGCCGGTCGCGCTGAGCGAGTGGTCGCCTTATCCGAGGTGTTTTGAATGTGAATGCATCCGTGACAAGGAAAAGTGGTCGCCATGGTCGAGTGGTCGCCATGGTCGAGTGGTCGCCATGGTCGAGTGGTCGCCATTACAGGTTTTACTGTACTTTGTACTGATGTGGCATGTTGCATGTTTCATGTTTCATGTTTCATGTTTCATGTTTCATGTTTCATGTTTCATGTTTCATGTTTCATGTTTCATGTTTCATGTTTCATGTTTCATGTTTCATGTTTCATGTTTCATGTTTCATGTTTCGCTACACAAAGTCCATTCTTAGGACCCATATAATTATTCTACTGTACAATAAAATTGCTTGTAAGAATAAATATGCACTTGAAACCCATGTTATGATTATGAAAACATGAGAGTTCATTCTTGTAGGCAGCATATTCTTTTACACGACCACGCCGTATAACCAATACGCGCTGTACCTGTTTGACTGGCACAGAGCCCGGAGGAGACGGAGTACATCGTGCTGCCCGTGATCCACGCAGAGATTGACCATGCAATCAGGAACCTGTCGTCCTGGATGAGGCCGCGGAATGCCACCCGTTCCCTGGTGAGTGCATTGAAGAGGAGGAAACTGAGAACTCGTCTCTCGCGGGTGTTAGTTATCTAGGGTAGTGGCAAGTGCGTATGCTGCAGCTGGTGGCTTAGAGATAATGCTTCTTTCAGACATGGCCAACCCATGAGCTTGATACCCCACACTCTGAGGAGCACAGCCTACCAGGACAATGAGGCCTATTGGAGATCAGTCTTGACTCTCGGCTTTGAAGCTTCCCCGCTGACGCGATATGTGCACCCAAAGTAGAGGCGGATGCTTTGGATAGATGATATGCCAAATAACGTGCAACTAGACTTGGGAGGGCATTGCACACCAGTTGCATACAAACTGTACTACAACGTGTACATGGTAGGCTCTGAGCTCTGCCGGAGCACAAGTCACAGGTACCCCTACAACTTTGAACATTGTATGCAACTACTCTACAATGCCGTCCCAAGTCTAGTTGCACGTTATTTGGCATAACTATCATCTATTGTGGGTCGTTGGGGCTGCCAGCTGCCAGCACCCTCGATAAACCAGCATAATTTTCCAGTAACCAAATGTCCTCTTCATGCACATTGCAGCAGTAACGGAATCAGATGAGTTAATCCAGCACCCTCCCTAATCCAGCAGAATTTCCCTAGCACATATGGTGCTGTATGGAGAGATTTGTACTGTGAAGAGAGCGCATGTGAGCGTTCAGACAAGAGACCATGCATTTTCTGATTCTCAGTTGTGCCCCTTGCTTCGTGCAGCTCCTTGCCTCGTTCAATAAAGTGCAGGAAAGGGCACAGCCGCTTGGTGTCGTGGCTGTCATATCTCCGTGGAACTATTCAATGCTTTTGCTACTACGGCCACTGGTGGGCGTCATTGCGGCAGGTATGACATGATGGGTAGCCCTGAGTTGTTTTGGGGAAGAGGATTTGTAGGCTAAGCCAGTAAGACTGCAAAACGTTCTCCTTTTTGATTGCATTACTGGTCGGGCTTGTCAAGCTCCAAGCCTCTAATCCCAGTACCAGTACCCTCTCCTCCTCTGCCCCTTCCACTTGAGCCCTACTATGACCAGAGGGTGGTAGGGTATGATTGGCAGGTGAGCAAAGTTTGCCTGCGGACACAGCACCAGTTTTACCAAACATTTGTCGTCATGTCATCGGAGACTTTAGACTTGGTGTGACTGTAATGCAATTTGCAGAGTAGGAAGACATCAATAGTGTGTGGGGGAAATGAGGAACTGTGTGACGAACAGTGAGTTGGGAATGGTTTCACAACCTCAGACCACTCGATTCAAGAGGAAAAAGCCCTGGCACGATTATACTCAAAAGGAATTCTTGCTCAAATAAAGGAAAGCTGCACTGTACCCTACTGCACTGGTGAGTTAGAGTTCACTGTAAACTTCTCCTTGGGAGCTTTCCAACGAGTCCAAGACCATCCAAATCAGCCAGGTAGAACCGATGTTATTTTCGAAAATCGAACGTAAAAATGCACATGTGCGTGCATGTGCGTGCATGTGTATAACGCCAGTCGAATATCATATAATTATATCATTTTGATGATTTCAGCCGGCCTGATTCCTTGTAAGGTGCGGAGGTAATATGGGTATCCGTGTACTCGTGCACCAGGGGTACGACTCCCTGCTGTGCACTCAACACGCACCACAACACGCACTTCACCGCGCACTCACCCCCCCCCCCCCCAACAAAAGCGGCTTTTACACATGAAATAACTGTAAAAATATATATAATGGAATTGTCGATCATGCTTTTCACACAATATCAATAATACACCCATGTGTGTGTTCACAGGAAATACAGCTGTCCTCAAGCCATCTGAAGTTTCTCCAGCAATGGAGAAAGTACTTGCTGAGCGGCTTGGTCTATACCTCGATCCGGTCAGTTGATTGGAAGGCAATTTTCACTTGGATATTTCTCCCATTTTTTTAGTGCAAAATTGATAATTTGGGAACCACCCCAAATTGGATGTTTGTACAGGCGACTGCTGCGTGTACTTCTACTTGCACATGTATAACGAGAATGTAAAACCAATATTTCTAGTCACTGCCTGGCTAATTTACCTGATCTACAGGTTACGCAATATTCTTGGAACTGTTTGAAACGAAGTCTGGAAGATGCTCATGATGCAGCAACAGTGGCAACGACAGTGGCATCAGTGGAGGCAGCGGTGGTGGAGGCAGCGGTGATCAGGGCGGTGACAGCAGCAGTGGCTGTGGTACCCACTGCTGCGGTACCGGCTGCGGTGGTGGCGGCGGTGGTGGTGGTGACGGCTGTGGGTTGGCGGCGGCAGCAGAAGCAGTGTCTGCAGTCATCACCGTTCTCAAACAATCTGTGCTGCTTGTCTTGTCTCAGGATTGTTTTCCCGTCGTCACAGGAGGCATACCCGAGACGACTGCTCTTCTCAAGCAGCGATTTGATCACATCTGCTTCACTGGGTCCACACCGGTCGGTCGCATTGTGTTGCGTGCGGCTGCAGAGCACTTGACTCCCTGCACTCTGGAACTAGGCGGCAAGAATCCTGTTATCATTGATCGTTGCTGTGACTTGGAGGTGACAGCCACTAGAATCATGTTTGGCAAGTCCATTAATGCTGGTCAGGTATGTTAATGCTGGCCAGGTATGTTAATGCTGGTCAGGTATGTTAATGCTGGCCAGGTATGTTAATGCTGGCCAGGTATGTTAATGCTGGCCAGGTATGTTAATGCTGGTCAGGTATGTTAATGCTGGCCAGGTATGTTAATGCTGGTCAGGTATGTTAATGCTGGCCAGGTATGTTAATGCTGGCCAGGTATGTTAATGCTGGTCAGGTATGTTAATGCTGGTCAGGTATGTTAATGCTGGCCAGGTATGTTAATGCTGGCCAGGTATGTTAATGCTGGCCAGGTATGTTAATGCTGGTCAGGTATGTTAATGCTGGTCAGGTATGTTAATGCTGGTCAGGTATGTTTAGTAATGAGCGGGTTATCCACTACACTATACTGTAGTCATGTTGTGCAATGTGCATGCTAGTCAGGCAGAGGCTGTGAGGCTCAGTTTCAGTCTGGGTCGAGACAGAAACGTCTTTCTTTCGTGTTCTGTGTTTGTGACAATACATGTACTACCACCAGGGGCGCCAAAGCCCGGGCCGCGGGGCCGCGGGGCAGTGGGGCAGTGGGGAGTGGTACGACCCGGGGTCAGGGTGTCCTTCGGGGAAAAAAAGTTTTTTTTTTGGTCAACAGGGTACGTTTTAGCGCTCTTCTATTGCTTTTTCGGATGAACTGGGCGGACCATCCTGGACGAAAGTGGTACGAGACCATGGTCGTACCGTGTGTGACGCCCCTGACCACGTTGGGAACGGGAGAGTGTGCGACCAGGTTAAAAAAAACCTTGAGTGATAGCCTAATAATAGATCACCATTGGTTGTAGGTCACACTTTCTTCCTCGACCTTCGGGGTTCTTGTAAAATCCTTATGGCTCAAGCGAGTCAGTCGGAATGATTTTCCGCATCCGCAGGACCCTCAAGGATCAAGGTGCAGATGCAGCTCCTAAAGCGGTGCCGGGAAGCAAGTGGATCAGACCCACCACCAGAGTGGTTAAAGACCAGCACTGATCTCATCCCCTGAATCTATGTGTCCTCTCGTGCCAGGCTACACAACATGTTCCTTGATATGCGCACCTGTCCAGTGGACGGATTTCTTTTTCATTTACATTGGCTGTCACTTTGTCTCGATGTGTGCGTGTGCATGTGTGTGTGTTTGTGTGTGTGTGTGTGTGTATATGTGTGTGTGTGTGCTGGTGTGTGTGTGTGCTGGTGTGTGTGTGTGTGTGTGTGTGTGCGCGTGCGTGCGTGTGTGTGTGTGTGTGTGTGTGTGTGTGTGTGTGTGTGTGTGGCATTCTTCTGCTCAGCTGTGCATTAGCTGCGACTACATCATCTGCCCACGCGCACTACAGGATGAACTCGTCAAGAAGTTCTGCTCTGCTCTACAGAGATTACATGACGGTGAAGTATGTGATAGCATGATGGCCCGCTGCTTTTATGTTATTATTTATCCACACTGTGCCATGGGCAACCAGGCTGCAGGCTGAAGCAAACCACCTTGGCCGGTTTGCGTAAATACATTGTGAGGAGGAAGGTGAAAATGAATATGCCCGCTATCACCATTGTGTTGCTAGTTAATAATCTTACCATTGAATGCGATTTGAATCGGCCTCATTGGGAATTTCAGTGCTGCTTGGAGGAGTGCAGATCTTAGAGATCTCCTTTTTCTATGCATTTAACTTCTGTGCTGTTTTCTATTTCTCCCACCATAGGATTTGAGTAAAAGCAAGTCGTTTTGCAACATTATTAACGAGCGGCATTTCAGGTGAGGAGGTTGTTACCCAGGACTGAGTCAAGAGCTCAGCCACGGCCTTACCAATCATATGTACGCATGTAGCTTTTCTTCACGGCCTTACCAATCATATGTACGCATGTAGCTTTTCTTGTTGGACAACAAACAAAACAAACAAAATTCCACGTGTAGAATCACCACTCTCTTGAATTGGATGATGACCTTGAGAATCGGATAACGCCTCTTGTACGGGCAAACAGAACACAATTCACTGCGACACACGGTAAAGGATTTGAAAGAAAGAAAAGAGAAAAAGAGAAAATATTGTATGTGTAGACTGAGTGTTATTCGACATGGCGTGGACATGGCGTGGACATGGCATGGACATGGCATGTCCATGGCATGGACATGGCATGTCCATGGCATGTCCATGGCATGGACATGGCATGGACATGGCGTGGACATGGCGTGGACATGGCGTGGACATGGCGTGGACATGGCGTGGACATGTCGTGGACATGGCGTGGACCGAATTCCCATTTGACTTTAAAAGCCGATGTACAGAAGTTTTAAATATACACAAAGTATCATCAGAACAAGCCATGACTTATTTTATAAAGGGAAACTATCCTGTCTAATGTCACCTTGAAATCACTTATAGCCGTCCCTCTGCGATGGCCAACTCCCGCAAAGCATTCACAGGACGGTGATAGGCTGATCGGGCACCACGGATGCACATGATGGCTGGACGCAATAAAGCAACAAAGCAACATAGCCGGCACCGGACATACCGAGTCATTGTCTCAGCGTACAACTTCTGGTCTTCGTGCAAGATGAGACCACGCAGGTGCTTCACAAATCTGGAGCACTCTGGCGCACACTGGCGTGCAGAGTATGGAGAGAGGGCATACAGGAAGAACAGAGTGCATGCACTATGCTTCTAGCATAATTATTAGCAGTTTACTGAAAGCTCATGACCGAGACGGAAACATGCGTTACACCATGAGTCATGCACATATCAGACATATACACACGGGAAAAGCGCGAGCTCCAGTGTGAGAGCAAACAACTAAAGTATCGCCGAGGTCGCTACCACTATTTCGTACTGGTGTGCCCAGCGCGAGCTTGTGACTAGTTCGTTTGGAGGTGACAGTGTTGCGATGACCGAGGGTTCTCAGCGTCTGTTCTGCCTGTCCATGAGTGACACTGACTCGCGCTGCTATCAGGTGTTCACGAGGTGTTTGTCGCACTGGAAACGGAGCGCCTGTGTAAGGTTATACCCCTGGTGATGGTTTGGCCTGGAGAGCACTATATAAGTGGTGCTCTTCAGGCACAATCTTCCTTAGCAGATTGATGACCTCTCGTGTGCTCTGGATGGCAGTCGTGAGGCAGTTAAGTGTCAAATCAGGTCGGCGGGAAAAGCGTATGCTCCAGTGTAGGAGCCACCAACTTCCTTATAAAATGTTCTTTAAAGTAAAAACATATTGGCTGGTTGCGGTGGTTGCGTTGGTGGACGGTTAGTAATAACTTATTGGTGGACGGTTAGTCATAACTCATTGGTGGACAGTTAGTCATGACTTATTGGTGGACGGTTAGTCGTAACTCATTGGTGGACAGCTAGGTCATAACTCATAACAAATTGTCCATTATGACAATGTTCTACCTCTGTTTGTGCAGTCGTCTGGTATCTTTGCTTGAAGGCACGAAAGGTAATGTTGCCATCAAGGGCTCCATTGATCACCAATCATTGTTCATGGGACTAAGCGTTGTAACGGATGTGACAGAGGATGATTCGCTGATGGAAGCTGAGGTGAGTATGGGGGCGGGGGATGGTGGTGTTGATGATGCGGTCGAGATGTGGGTGTGTGCCCCTGTTGCCGCGATGATACTGGTGCCGTAGCTGCACTGCATAACACATGCTCAAAGCAGTAGGCACAAAGTACTAGTAAGCTTAGACAACCCCAATGTATTAGTATTGCCTTTTAAGACTGTGTCTTTTGAACTGCACCATGGCTTGATCACCCGCATTACATATTTTTTGAACTGCACCATGGCTTGATCACCCGCATTACATATTTATTTGCACATGCCTTCGTGATTATGATGTACTAGTAATAATAGTAATAGGTATAGATGAAATAGCACCTCAAACTAACTGCCCTCCATTGTGTCCATACCAGCTAATATTGCCCAACACCGGCAGTTTGAACTTGCAAAAGCATACTGCGCTCACGCCTTGTTTATCCGGGGGATCGGGGACCGGGCACTGTGCGTAACCCTGAGTCACGTACACTGATGGGGAAAGACCAGAGATACGATGGCATGTGATGCCACTATTTCCACTGAAAGTCACAGCAAAGAGCAATAAGATTTCCACTAAAACTGAACCAAATGGGTGCCCGGTAGACCGAAGACGAAGTGCCCGTAACTTTGATGTCCGGACAGCTGAGGTATGAGTGCACATGCATACATATGTGGCATGGCCATGGCGCTTTGTGGTCACAGACCAGTTGATTTCATAAGTGTGAAAGTATGGTGTCACTGATATGTGGACTTCAGTGTGTCACAGAGTCGACTGAACAGGTGCATGCCCAACTTGCCTTTGTAGATTGCAACATGTATTTTACTAGCATGTGCCACTGAAGTATACATGTGTGCATACATGCATGTGTGTGTCCTCTGCCCCCCCCCCCCTCCCTTATATGCCACTCCTAGATCTTTGGGCCTATCCTACCGATCCTGCCGCTGGAAAGCACCGAGGAGATTCTGATGCACCTAAGAAAGAGGTATGTGTGTACAGTAACTTAGCTAGCTGCGTCACAGTCCTACTTGTAGTCACGCTGTTCAAGATGTGTGCTGGGTAGTTTACATGATTTGCACTGGGCGGTTGGCATCAGTGGACGAGTTGTTTTCAGGAGAGGGGCAGATCTAACGTTCCGTGTCCTGTCGATCAGAGCATGCAGCAAATTTGTCTCCGGCAGCTGGAGTGGAGATTGTAGTCCTGTCCCGTCTCAGTCAATTGCTAGAGTACTGTATGGAGATTTGTCCAGACGTGTACGTGTGTGAATTGCTGCTGACAGTGCTGTGTGGAAAGGGAGTTTTAGTGTCTTGTGAAATGCTAGGTTGTCCAACTAGGGTAGGGTGTACAATGTGCAGGTACACTGTACACTAGCAACCTTGTACCTCACCCATTGTAGCACAGCCTCTCCTACCCCCCCCCCTCCCCCCCCCCCCCCCCCACACACACCTTGTACAATGTCACAGTGCAGGTACACTAGCAACCTCACCCATTGTAGCACAGCCTCTCCTACCCCCCCCCCCCCCTCCCACACACACCTTGTACAATGTACTGTAGTACTTTGCAATCTGAAGAAGCACCAGTTCTGGGGTCCATCGGTAGCCAGCATCACCCAGGCTGACTGGAGGCCAACACAGCCTCCCGGGATTTTGCTCTGTGTCACCGAGTGGAACCTGCGTTTCGAGGGTGTTTGTCGTTACCTTGCTAAACTAGCCTCTTGATGACGCCACTATGGTATACGTATACACAGAACAGATGGCCAAGTATGTGCTAATTTCTAGGTATTAGGACATCATCGCTGTACCAACGTGGCCAGAATAACACTTCAGTAGGCAATAAGGCTAAAACGGCACATCCTTTGGAATTTTTACAGAAAGAATGTAATACTATACGTGGGTAGTTGTTTTCCAGGAACCAATGTGTGCTTCTTTGTTCATACTCCACTTCACGTGTGTTTTGCACACCACTAGTCACTAGTGTTTTGTCCCAGTGTTTGTTGTCAAAATCGTCTTGGCAACTCCCAGGTCTCACTGCCAAACCTCCTCTCGGGGTCTTGACGTACTTCAGCTAAGTGTGACTATGCGAGGTTAGCGCCACCGTACTTGAGAAAAGTGTCATTTGGGTACGCGTGGCATATCCGCGCATAACTGATCATGCTTTGCCTGCTTTCTGTGCGTCAATGCGGCGGCAGGGACAAGCCGCTCTCACTGCACGTCTTCTCCAATCGTCAGGCGTTCATCGACGAGATAATTGACAACTCGTCGAGCGGCATGGCGGTGGTTAACGACTGTGTCGTCCAGGTTACCGGGATGAACACTCCGTTCGGTGGTGTCGGCGCCAGTGGCATGGGTGCTTACGGTGGCCACACAGGCTTCAGCACCTTCAGTCACAAGCGCACCTTCCTACAAGTGTCTCTCTGGGATGGTTTCAACAGCTGGTGAGTTCATAGCTAGCCGCTTGAAACTGCTGCACTGGCCAGTGCTGCCCCGGCATGCCTGTTCACTCAGTCGGGTTCTCACACACCGGGCGGCGGCGTGCTTGGCTAGGTGAACACTCACCATACACCTGTGCTTGGCTAGGTGAACACTCAACATACCTGTCTCATCAGTCATCAAGCTCTTTTCACTGTACAGTGCATTGGGGGAAACTTAGGAATAGAACAGGTTGTCGTCGGGTCAGCTTGTCGAATTGACTATCACAGCACGACTAGGAGAGGTTCAGTACCTAATATGCAGTTTGCTGCAGTAGCTAGTTTACTGCATACGAGACGAGTCAATGCGCAGGTTTGGGTTGGAGTCTGGTGAAGATCTTGTAGATTGGATTCGTTTACACGAAAAGAAAAGAAAACTGTGTGTGTGTGTGTGTGTGTGTGTGTGTGTGTGTGTGTGTGTGTGTGTGTGTGTGTGTGTGTGTGCGTGCATGCATGCATGTATGCATGTGCATGTGCGTACGAAGTATATTCATTCCTTCATCTCAGCAATCCTCTCTAAAAGCAAAGGGATGCAGCATCAGTCTTACATTATAGGTATTTTTCGGGTAAGAAAAGGGCATAAGAGGAGAGCTGATAAAATAAGAAAAAAGCATTAGCGGATCATAAACTAAGATACGAAACCAGGTGTGTGTGTGTGTGTGTATGTGTGTGTGTGTGTGTGTGTGTGTGTGTGTGTGTGTGTGTGCACGCCCGCACATACATGTGCATGCATATATGTCTGTGTGCTCAGGTTACGCTACGGATACGCCAAGAAGCCGTATGCGAGAGTGGCAGTAAAGCATTTTGAATCTATCCACCCATTTGACTATTGGCCACAGGTCCTGTTGACTTCCACGCTTTTTGTAGTAGCGCTCCTGCTAGCCAAAGGCTAAGCGTAGCCTTTGAATTCACTGCACTTCTACTGCTACATGTATCTCTCTGTGCAGTCACATTGCAAAAGTGGGATCTCGCAGTCACATTGCAAAAGTGGGATCTCGCAGAGGAGCATAAGCCCTGTCTGGAAGTCGGCCATTCGCCAGAAAACAGTCCAGCATTCTCATGCCTCCTGACACCCTCTCGCCATCCCGTGTTCTACTTCTAGAGATCGTTCATAATTATAATATTATTGACCTTTCACACGAAACGAAAAAAGTTTCTTTTAATAATGGGCGGGCAGTTTATAGAGGAGTTTCATTTTGGAAAAAAATATAGCTGAAAAAGATAGCTGAAATCCATATTCTACTAGTAGCTGTCAAGCTTTAAAATTATATTTTTCGTTCCATGAAAATTCTTCCCGCACTTTTTTTGGTTTGGAAACAGAACTGAAGCTATCTCGCGTTTTTTTCATTCTGTGTTTTACTGTTTTCTTCATTGCGCATGTACATGTAGCTTGGCTACTGGCATAATGCGTGCTGCTGAATTCACACAACTAGGTTTTTCACGTACGGTTGATCTGCTAAAGAAGTGAAAATGAGAGTGCCGGCGGCCGGGCAAATCATGCCCCCCCCCCCCCCCCCCCATGGGGCTGGGCAAATCATGACCCCTCCATGGGGCTGAGTAGCACTCGTTATCTTGATGCTTTGAGGTTGAACACACTCAATACTCATGCTTCGAGCTGCAATGACAATCTTACGTGTGACACGCTAAAACAATACTGTTTTCTGATGATCGCTTAGTGCAGAGTTAAAACACTTTCTCTGTCCTCTTATTGTTTGAAAACACGCTAAATTGATTATTTGATGGAGGGAAGTAAAAAGCAAATTCTGATGCATGCAGCTCTCTAGTCGGACTTGCACAGCACCCCACAATGCACACACACAGTTCTCCAACCATACTTGCACAGCATGGCTGTGAAATAAGAACAGTTCAATTGTGGGTCAGTGACAATGACTGAGAAAAAAAGTAAAAAGTAAAAATAAAATAAAACAGCAGAAGTAGGTAAAAGGACAAAGGTTGGCCATGTAATTACATGAACACAAGGGCACAGGAAACACTTCACGCAAGCTGTGCTGGAATGGTTTCCTCCAAGTAAAAATAGCAATTGTTTTCAGCAAGCAAAAATTTTCAAACATTAAAAAATGTAACTTCAATTAGCAGCAAAACTGTCAAGTAATGATAGGAAATAGGACAGTTTCAGACATGAAATCAAAGTCAACTTCAACAACGTGAGAATAAAGAATTCAAATTCAAAAAAAAACAACAAAGCTTTTACGAATGGGGACCGGGGACGTATGTGAGAGAAAGCAAGACGAGCTGTTGCATGCCATCCGTACTAACGAACCTGCGTGTGCACGGCAGCATGTATACTACACACCCGCTGGTGTACTGCTTGTCTTTAGCTTAGTGTGTGCTATACGGCTCTAATGCCTTGCATCGTCGGTGCTCTGTACGTTATCGTAGTTTCACACCAGGTGTTGTTGTTGTTGTTGTTGTTGTTGTTGTCAAATGCATGAGTGGTTGGCAGACACAACAAGCAGGAGCCGTAGAAGGTCAACATTAATCGCATCTAGTCGTTGTCTTCAGAAGTGGGTACTTCTCGAAGCAAAAAGTAGCCAGTTGGAAAGTCAGTCAGTTTTCTTCCTGTCTGGAGAGAAGCGCAGTAGCAATGTGCTGGTCACTGCTACTATCATACCTAACACCCACAGAGGTGTAATTCTGGCCTTGTGCTGGTTGTGCAAGTGGGTAGACGCTGCAGCGCCGATGTGCCGACACCGTACTGCCCAGTGCGTCTATGGTGGGCTAGCATATGAACCAACTTGGTTCAGTGCCAGATCAGCCAATGTTGCCAGGTTAGTGGAAGCTATGTACTCCTCCTCCTCCTGCTCTTGACTTGGCACATGCAGACTAGCAGTGGTGGCACATGCCTGCAGCATATGCTCCTTCGGCCCAGCAACAGATGGAGTGACGTCATTCGTCAAGGCGGATGACTGAAGTTGCTGTAACGCACGTGCTGCTTGCTTTTCACTATACTCTAGCAATGTGCATGCGCTTCCTTCAGCGGTGGCAATTGCTGATGCTGCTTCTACTGTCACAGCGCATGGCAAGACTAGATGCCGTTCTGTAGTTTCTCTGGTACTGTGCTGCACGTCAGGACTATTTAGTGAGCAGCGAAGAAACAGAACATTGCAGTACATGTAGTAAACGACACAAATATCCATGTTCGCTCGCGTGCACACACACACACACACGTTTGTGCTTGTACTTGGACTTGCTCACTGCTAAACCTGGTCATGTGGGTCTCCCCGGAAGAGGTAAGAGAGATTCAAAAGGAATCTTGGAAAGATAACTTAATCGGCTATTGAACCGTCCAACAGCCGACACCCCTGAAACTCTGGGTGGACTTGGAAATGATCCCACTTATGGGATCACCACACCTCAGTACTAGTAAGTGGGTGAGGACAAGGTGCAGAAAAAAGGATTGACGGCAAAGGGCATCCATCCCGGGATTCAACTGCATTTACCCCTGGCCCAGGGGCGGATCCAGAGATCAGGGGGGGGGGTTCAGTTTAGCTGACACATGTACAATGTAGATGCATATGGTTTCCAGTAGCACATTTGCGAAATTTAGGGGGGGGGGGGGTCCGCGGAACCCTTGGACCCTCCTGCACTTAGGCGCAGTAGATCAGGGCCGATGTGATCAGTTTTGGTGGCGCTACCCCACACTCCCTCCCCAAATAGCAAAATACCAGCAAATGTAGAAATGAACCTGACGTTCCAGCTGTCTTTTCAAGAGAGTAAGACGCACGGCTATTACAGCAACCCCACACGTGCAACTTACATGGTAGCAGTAGCAACCACACACGTGCAACTTACATGGTAGCAGTAGCAGCAAATTTTGAGAGGAACTCCGCCAGACTATACACACCCATCTGCAAATAGAAGCATTGAAGAAGAAACCGTGATGTCAGACCATCATCACCTATCGTATTTCCCAGATTATAAGTCAAACCCCCATTTTCAGCTCTGAGCCATATTGTTTCAATATGTTCACATAAGTACGTTGTCGCATTCGATTCTTCTAAGTCACATCCCCTTCTTTGCCCGCGACGTTTGTCATAAAAATAGGCGTGACTTATATTCGGGGGAAATAGGGTATGTGTAGGTGTTGTTAGCAGAGTGTAGGACAGCGAGAGAATTGCATGCACTACTCAACATGTGCATGCAATATGTCAATACGGCGTCGAGGCCACAGGCCACGGGAGCCGGGGGCTTGCTGCATTCTCGCAGGGTTTGCCAATCACCCAAACATAGCTCGAAAACATCGAATCCGTACACAGGGTATGACCGTAGCAGCTGAAAGTGGAATTTCCGTATTCTCCGGAGTATACGCCGCACCCAGATTTTTTTGTCAGGAAGTACAGATATCTACCCTGTTTAACACGGCATTGATTTGACCATCGCAGTATAAAAGCCGCACCTACTTTTTCAGGGTGAACTACTGGTGTTAAAGGTGCGGCACTAGTATACTCCGGAAAACACGGTAATGAAACTTGCTCTTTTCAGTTCATCTTGTCCACCAGCGCATGTCGGAATTCACCTCAAAGCAGGCACATGTACATGTACATTCACCATGCGACTGAGCATCACTCGTAGTACTGGTGATACTGATATACTTCAGAAATAGAATGCACGGGCACAGAACTCAAATTGAGAATCACAGTTCACACTATTGCCAACACTGACGCATTTTCGCTATTGCAGCTCAGCTCGTACAACTTACCCCTTTGCCAATAAACGGCCAACTGTCCTCCTCATCCATGTCTGGAAGGGCACGGGGCAGGGTGGAATGCAAGCATAGTTAGCTACTACCATGTACAAATCTTAGCCACCATAATACAGCCATAATGACAGTGTACAAACACATACATGAGGTGGGGGGTACAGAACGATTTGTTTGGTCAGGCCTGACACTTCTTGGTATGCAATATGCAGCCAGGGGTGCACACGGGGATGGTCCACTTCTACATATAGAGAGGCACAGAATTGTGGGAACGGGGTCTACAAGGGGGGGGGGGCAATCATTCGTACATGTACACACAGATAGCTAGACTTGAAGGCACAATGCAAAGAGAGACACACAAAACCTACTAGAGTCGTACTTGAAGTAGTTACAGTAAGTATCGTTTATAAAGTGACCGGATATAATGATATACCGGTTATAGTGATAGAACACGTCAAAATCAAAATCAAATCAGAAAAAATACAGCTAAAATATCACTATATACACTATTATCGGCTATACCGATATATCGCTTATTGTGATGGACTTCAGGAAGCAAACCATATCAAATGTACAGGAAAATATCGCGTATAATGATCAAGAGTGATCTTTCTGCATGCTCTTGTCCGTTTCTGGCTGTGTTGCCTCTCACAATGATTGATGTTGCCAACTCACGTACACAGCCACTCATGTCTATTTCTGGCTCTACGCAACTCGTTGGACACCGAGTAGATCTACGTGAGTACGGATCCAGCTCAGGCTTTTTTTGGAGAACACGCTGAAGAAGCAGCCATGCCACATGATGTATCGAAGTTCTAGTACATGTACCATGTGTACAGTCTGTACTCGTACTGCACTGCCATGCACTGCTCTGTGTCATGCACCGGTACACAGTCCGCGGAGCATGCATGCACTTTCAGCATGCTTTTTCCAGCGTGTAGATCTACGCATCATTTCATGTGCAGTCATGTGCCATGTGTCGGTCAAACATGCAAATCGGCTATAGTGATGCACCGGATATAGTGATACATTTTCGAAAATCAAAGGGGCACGTTATATCCGATATTTACTGTACTACTAACCGTCCAAGAGGATGAAGTGGCGGTGCGTCTGCATGTGTTTTCGCTGAAGACGGGACATTGTGCCTAGCCAGTCTGTCGTGTCTGAGCCACCGTCTGCTTTGGAGACAACTTCCTGCAGGGAACATGATCGCCATGGATAACAGTTGGTAAGGCTACAATGAACTCAAGTTGTTATTGAATATAGAGTTAGGAGAACTTTCACTGCACACCAGCTCAATCCCAGCTAAGTATACACACTGTGTGTATGAGTGTGTGTGTGTGTGTGTGTGTGTGTGTGTGTGTGTGTGTGTGTGTGTGTGTGTGTGCGTGTGTGTGTGTGTGTGCGTGCGTGCGTTCCATTCAACCCAACAACCAGGACAGCACAATGTGGATCATTAATGAGCTATTGTTTCACATGGGTAAAAAGCTTGCCCTGCGGTCACTTTCTATTCCTCGACCTAAGCATGTCCACATTTTAAAATATACAGTTGAGTGTAATGGATCCACGGTACAAGTTGAGTGTAATGGATCCACGGTACAAGTTGAGTGTAATGGATCCACGGTACAAGTTGAGTGTAATGGATCCACGGTACAAGTTGAGTGTAATGGATCCACGGTACAAGTTGAGTGTAATGGATCCACGGTACAAGTTGAGTGTAATGGATCCACGGTACAAGTTATGTATTGTACACTGGACTACGGGATACTTACATCCTCCGAAAGGATGCCGTCATGCTTTAAGAGGATGTCCTGCAGAGCAAAACGCAGCAGATCCATCACATGAGTGTACCATCATGTCATTGAGGTACGCAGGCACATTTTAAAAGCTCATACACCATTGCCCTGGTTGCTGTCCAAACACTGAATAGCAACAACCACTTGACAGTGTCAGCTAGCCAATGACAGACCTCCGGCACAGTTTTTAACCAGAGTTCCGGTACGGCTTACCAAGTGCTAAAACTAGGAATCATTCAGACTTTCCGAGGCACAACAGTTTATTACCAGTAGGCCAACGCAGACAGCTGTCCAAATCAAAACAAGCAGCTTGCTGACATGGTGTACAGTTGGCCAATGTTGAAGGACAGAAAAGTGACAAGTCGGACTCACCTTCATCTCTTTGTCAACCCTGCAGAAGACGGGACCGAAAAAGAGAAAGAACAAAGAGAACCAAGCTCTACCATCATGTTGCATCGTTATACTACTTAGAATAGCTGTCCATTGATCAGCCACCAACACAAGCCAAACCATTGCAACCCTCATTTACACTATACACACACAACATAACATACACACACACACATACACACACACGCATGCGTACACGCACACGCATGCGCGCGCGCACGCACGCACACACACACACACACACACATGCGCATGGATTGATAACGCATGCCAAGACAATCACATTGCTGCTGCTTCTGCGTGGGTGAGGAGGACTCACAGGTTCTCAAAGAGAGAGCTGAAGTCTGCTGGTTGCATCTTGAACTTCCAGGAAGTGCCATTATGTGACATACTGTCGATGAATGACAGTAACCTGGACACAATACCTGTGGAAAATAGGCCGGAAAGCAATCAACTAATGAATGTCTATGCCAATCTGAATGAAACTAGATGGTCTTATTTCTACAGTAAGTACCTGCAGGAGAATAGCATGCATACTTATGGCGAGGCCGATCTTTCATTAGTATTCCAGTGAAAACATGCCCTGCACCAATATAGGTGACGTATGAACATTCAGGCGATGCTGACGCGGATCCCGCACATATTATTATTTTATTTATTTCTCACAGATCACAGGATCTGGTGTGAGCCGGTCTCACACCAAACCAGCATGCACATACACCGGGCATCAGCCATGTGCGCAGGCTTTCTCATCTGCTACAAGATGGCACCGTTCAACACTCTTGCCACTCCGGGCCTTTCCGACTACATGGAGTGTGTGTACGATAGGTTACTCCCGTTGCCGGTAGTCATGCAGAATGAATGCGCTGAAGGCTTACTTGAAGCACACGCACATCAACCACTACCCAAACACTGTATAAGCATTGTACACACATGTACTCGCACTCGTATAAGCTTACCGGCTGGCAACGAGAGAAGATAGGATGCCGTGGACAACACGATGCCAGTGTCAGCGGGATACAACTCATGGCAGTGGTTAGCACGTAGAGCTGCAAACACACACAATGCACACGCACATGCACACACACACACACACACACACACACACACACACGCACGCACACACACACACACACACACACACACACACACACACACACACATACGCATGTACATGTACATGGCCAAGCACAGATAAATACTCAAACCTACCAAGCAATTTGTCCAAATTTTCACCCAGGAGGGCATCATCAGGGATCTACCAAGCAATGCACAATCAATTCAGTATTCATTGCATTAAACATCACCCATAACATACCTGCTATCAACATCTCAGCAACCAACTGGCAACTGCGTACATGAGTAACACCAGATCTTCGCAGAGTATGCTGGAAGTACCAAGCACAGCCTGCACAGCATTCCACACTACGTGACCTGGCAACACGTAAACATACCCGCAGGACTCGGCACTGTGCACAAGGCCAATGTCTACAACTAACCTTCGACTGTTGGTACGTGCACAAATTGGACATGTCGATTCATCTTCAGAAAGAACAGCTCTGAAATTCTGCAAACAACAACAACAACAACAACAACAACAACAACAACAACAACAACAACAACAACAACAACAACAACAACAACAACAACAACAACAACAACAACAACAACAACAACAACAACAACAACAACAACAACAACAACAACAACAACAACAACAACAACAACAAACAACAACAACAACAACACATAAACACAAGGACCTCTTTCAACTATGCCACAATCCAAAGCAAAGAAGGAGCATGTTCTGCGTATCTCTTAATAAACTGACCAGGTGAGATACGGCATCAACAAGTAAAATACCTGCCTCTTACTTTTTGTAGTAGTGTTACAATTCTCACCATTCTTTGTACTTCAATTTATGACCGATGAGTTGAGGGTGACGTAACAGGTTATCAGCTATGCTACCGCCGTGCCCTTGTCATGTTCACGCACCACTTAAAAACTGACTCACACTTTTTTCTGAGTATAGCTATCACTTGAGTGACATGACTTTCGTCATGCACCTTCCCGGCACCCATTCAAGCAGAACAAACGCCTGCCAGAAACAGCACTTAGAGCACCGTCAGCATGTCAAGATGAGTATTCCATACTTGAGAAAACTACAAAACGTTCTAGTGTAGAATTGGACAAATTTTCAGTACTGCTAATTTTAGCTCCTCCGCTTTTAGCAAATATTACGCAACATAATCTACCACTCCGGTCACAAATTGCCACATTGACCTTCCTTCAAGTCAATGTATCCCATCCCAGGCATTCACAACAACAAAACACAGAACTAATTACTTGGCACGACAGCGCTACCCAGCAATGTCTGGCGCAAAGGAATAGTGACCTGTTTACACTGTATGACGCAATCGTGCGAACTAGCAAAGATAGATAGTTGAAGCATGATCCCACCAGGGCAGACATACTAGTCTTCCAATGTGTTCCAGAAAGGTCCCACACAGTCGAGGTCTACAAACACATAGAGCAACAACTCGGATACTTTCCTCGTGTCCCTGGGGGTTCGGATAAGTACAACAAGTCAACAACGGATTGTCACAATGTCGCCCTCCGATAGAGGCTTCAGTAAGCGATACTCACTCATCAGCTGTGTTCAGATAGGGCTGCGGCGTCAACACCAGACAGCGTTCGATACTCTGTGAAAGCTGAAAAATGTTGTCCTTCCTGACCTGCGTGCAGCCATGGCAGATGAGATAATCCTGCAGTCATATAGGGGAGATACGGCAGTCATATAGGGGAAATACGGCAGTTATTATACTGAGGCTGAGTTATATAGTGGAGATACGGCAGTCATATAGTGCAGTCGTATCGGGGATAATACGGAAATACGGTGGGCAGGCACGCAACAGCAATAGAGAGGTTAAGATCTTATTGGAGATGGTGCCATCGTGAGAATAAAGAATTCAAAGGTGCACTTGACGCAAACATTTGTGCCCGCGCACTCAGCTCCATAAACCACACAGGTCACATTTTCTGTTATAAGAAACAAACAACTTGGATGAGGGTGCGTGTGCGCGTGCAAGCGAACGCACGCCAACTTACAAATAAAATCATCAACGCGTGCGCGATAGTAAAATATTTCTCGGATATTGACGAACATGCAAGGAAAGCACAAAACAAACTACACATGCATGGTCCTGCGCGAGTCAGGCCTCGCACATGTGTGGTTCCAGGTGCAGCGACTTGCGGCAGTTTCACCCCATACACACATCCACCTGACGTGTATCCTAATCTCTCTAATGTACCCCGTTCACTTAGAAGAGTTGTTTAGGCTAGTACTGATCACTGCATGCTGCAACAAACAGGACGTCCGGGTTTGTCACATTGTACCTCGCTCGAAGTGCCTAATGTCAAAGAGCTATACTGGCTAGTAGTCGACCGGGAACCTGTTTTAACCTGTTTGCTATATTGACCAAAGCAGCACATACTACTAGGACACTCGTACTACATGTAGTACCAGTACACCGCCATCTGCAGCAAGTGCCGACTCAACAACTGTATCCACACCACTAGAGTACAAGGATGTATGTAACACAATACCGGTGGCACCACTGCATCCTCTGCACACAATCATACATCGAGGAGACCCGGGTTGACTGCCGTAGAATCCCGCGGATAAGCCCACCCGCGTATAAGCCCATGCTCGCGCATAAGCCCAGGGAAAGTTCGAACATCACAAAGCTTCATCGTACAAGCCCATGGGCCTAAATTGTAGCAAGAGTCTATAAATTATGGACTCTTGATCGTACCATGTACGTAGTCATGTTTTTGTTTTTTTTGTACATTTCAACACAATCATCGGTTGTTTTGTATGCACAGTGGCTTTCAGCAATGTACTTCTCACTTCCGTGGTACTTTTCAATGCACACTTTTGGTGTCAGCGTATAAGCCCATGCCCGCGTATAAGCCCATGTTCTTGTATAAGCCCACCGAAATGTCCTTGTGAAACAGATAAGCCCATGGGCTTATCCGCGGGATTCTACGGTAACCTATCTAGTATGCTGCAATCAAAACAACCTGCACATAAGGTACATACCTTCGTCTTGATGAACATCGGATGTGCCACACTGCCGTGAATGAAGAAATTGCATCCATTGCTGATTTCGGGTACGTGTTTCTTATGCAGAGTGAGTGCCGAGCTATCAGTGGCATCAGGGGCGGCGACCGTACCCGCGCTGCTGAACGCAGAACCTGCAGGACCAGGCTCAAACAACTTGCCCGGTGTGGTATCCATTGCGGTAGCCTGGGGCAGAGCAGTAAACAACTTGCCCGGTGTGGTATCCATCGCGGTAGCCTGGGGCAGAGCAGTAGCACAGGTAGTGGCTGACAGTAGTGGTGGTGCTGTCTCCTTGCTACCCACCGCCACCACTGTTGACAGTGCATTAACACCAGTTCTGTGTGACATGCCTGGCACAAGGCTGGTCCGAGCAACAGACACTACGCTGTCATGGCATGTATCCTGCTGCTCGGAGGGCTCTGCATCAGGTGGCAGTGTTGTAACCTCTAGGTGAGCATTGTGTCGAGTGTGTTCTGACGCTGGGCATAAAGCTGGTGTTAGCACAGGCACAGGTGATGAGGGTGGAGACGGTGTGACCTGTGACAAATCTATCATGGGTGGTATTGAGACCAGAGGAGGTGGTTCAGATGGGACTTGTTGTTGACTCTCTGCACTCTGGGTTTCGAGATGTGCAGATTGGACGTGTGATGTTTGGCAGTTGTGCGGTGCTGTTGTTGATGATGACAGTGCTGGCGAGTGGGACTGCACCGCATCACCTACCAAGCGTGAAGAAAGTTGTTCCAGGTCCCGTTCTTCTCCAATAGTGGCAGCAGATTCAGCTGAGGTTGGATCTCGATCATCACACTTTCGTGTATGTTGAGTATGGTGCGCAGGCGAGACAGGCGGACTGCCCAACGGCACCACACTCTCTGCAGTGCTCTTCCACGCTCCAGCACATGTGTCGGCGTCAGTCACAGTACCCGGTTCGGCTTGGCCGTGTGAACTAGTGTGCGTCACCATGGCAGCATCTATGCAGCTGGATCTCGCAAGTGTGCCAGGATTAGCACCAGTGACACCACTAACCACTGCATCGTCCAGAGTGCCACATTCCATGTCCAGCTGTTTCTGCTGCTGCTGCTCACGGTGCTCCTGTTGGACCAGATCCAGGGCCGACGACGTGGGGGGCTCACTCGCTGATGCAGAGATAGGCATGCTCTGGCTTGCTGTCAGCATCTGCCACTCGTGCGACGACATGGCCTCGTTGCTCATAACGGACGACTGAAAACTCTCCACGCTCATGTCGGCAAAGACAGTTTTAGCAAACCCAAACGGCAGCACAATCACATTGCTAGTACTTAGGCTGATATGCTCGAACGAGCCCACACCACCATCACCGCTACATCTAGAGCCCACACCACCGTCGCTACATCTAGATTCAGAACATGCTGCTGCTGGTGATGCATTGCCGTCTGACGGCGACGCTACTGCGGTGCTGGATTCTAAGATCTCTTCCGCAAGCTCTCTGACAACACCACTGCTGGTTACTTTTAGATTCTTGAACCTTGTGTTGCTATCTTCGGCATCAGAAGTTGCAGCGCCGCTGTCTTCTCGCGTCACCACCGGATCATCCTGCTGGCGTGACGTTGCAGACTCATTCATCTTACTTACAGTGTTGGCTAGTGGGCAGCTAGACTTGTCACAGACAACATCGCTGCTATTCCTCGCGTCGTGCTGGTCAACGGGGATTTCCAACTGGGAGTAAAACTCGCTGGGTTCACCAATAGCTTCTCTCAGCTCTCGGATAGTGTCGTTCAACTTCTGTATGGCAGTGTCATACTCTTCAATCACAACACGGTAATCTTTGACCTTGACGGTCTCTTCCGTATCAGAAACATGACAGCTACCGGTCTGACTGCTGCACGTACTACTGCTACCACTACTACTGCTACTACTGCTGCTGTTACACGTACTGCTGCTGCTGCTGTTACACGTACTGCTGCTGCTGTTACACGTACTGCTGCTGCTGTTACACGTACTGCTGCTGCTGTTACACGTACTGCTGCTATCACACTGACCACGGTGCTCATCATCATCAACTACGGGCGCAGAATGACTGTCTCCAGGTTCGCTGGCAGCTAGTGGTGACTTGATCTGATCTAAGTCAGGGTTTAATTCTTTGGACACTGTGGCACCATAGCTTGACTCGGCAGGATGGCATGCTTCAACAGCCTGCACAGGAGTATTTGGCACAACATCTTCAACCACACTTTCTTGATTGATATCCATTAGTTGATGCTCACTGGTCGTTTCCATAACTTGTGTGAGCGCAGTGGTCACGTCCATGTCTTCACATTCCACTTCTGTCAGTGCTGTGCCATCAGCACACGCATGTATCCTGCAAGGAGACTCCTCGAGCTCAGGCTCTCTGCTGCTATCGCCTGCAATAGCATTCTCAGCATGGGGTGGTGTTGTTGCATGCATACTGTCAGGTGACCCGTGGGTAGCTGTCATCATGTTGGATGTGCCGTCGTCTTCTGCAGTTCTAACCACACTTGGCGAGTGCTCTGTAGATGTTCTCGCATCAATGGGGAAATTCTCTATGCACATATCATCGTCAGAGGCATCTTCATGCATTGCTTCAACCATAGCTTCCACTGGCTCACCCAATTTCTCCATAGCTGAGACATTTGTGATCACCTGCATAGCAATGCCACTATCTACCCTTGCAACACGATCATTCGCTTCCACCGTCTCAACATCGTCATCATGATATTCGTCATCACCATCAAGGCCGCTATCACTATTGGCCAGTGCAGCAGGGCTAGCATCCTGGGTTTGAGGTGATTTTACGTGTAGCTCGCCGCTGCCAGCATCACATGGTTCGTCAAACGCACATGGGCGTGATTCCATTGCATCGCCAGCACTTTCCATGTCTCCTTCCACTGATCCTTGCTGGCTAACTGAAACAGGGGCGTCTGATTCGTACAGCACATCTTCTTGAGAGTGAGAAAAGACACATGGGCTGCCATTTTCCAAACTCATGCCACGATGGTGTACACCCTCCACACTGTCGTCAATGTCACTCCTATTGTCAGTCGACGCAGTCTCGGAGCATATGTTTGATCTATCGTGCGGAGATGGAAACTGGCTGCTTGCATCACAAAGCATGGAGATTTTGTCCGCTGCTGATCCATCTGCGATGCATGTATCACCGCCAGGCTTGGAGTCCATGCTGGAGAGCTGTGGGTCAGATGGCGCAGTACATGAAACACCAGCCACTGCATGGTCACCATCGGTGATGGCAGTGGCATCAGTGGCACATGGAATACCACCCACCGCATCATCACCATCGGTAACGAGAGTAGTATCAGTGGCACATGGAATACCACCCACTGCATCATCGCCAGCGGTAACGATAGTAGTATCAGTGGCACATGGAATACCACCCACTGTATCATCACCATCGGTAACGATAGTAGTATCAGTGTGTTGTCGCTCGCTTGACCCACTGCACTGCGCTACTGGTGAATTCCTGCTACTACTCCAAGTCGATATCGCATGTTCAGAACTCGGAATGGCTGCAGTTGCTAGTGATGACATGGTTGCATTGGGCTGTGGACTAACATCAGTGTCAACAAGTACTGACTTGGTGCTGTCTTGGACTTGCACACACATAACAGATGTTCCAGTGGGACTGTGAGCAGTTTCCCTACAGACATCCACTTCACCAGCGCCAGATGTGGATAGATCGTCATCGGCACTACACACTGCGCCCTGAACAATAGCATCCACACTACACTCTTTACTCCGATGAGAAGCTATGGACACATCGTCACCTTCACTACACTCTACACGCTCATCAGCATCTGTGCTGCAACGAGTTGCAGATATTGTGTCGTTTACCACTGCAGCCTCACGGGATGGACTTGTATCAACAGGGCTAGTAGGTATGGTGTTATTTGAGACAATGCTGTCAGAGTCGTTGACAATACTGTGCGACTCATAAAAACAATGACTGTGGCTGCTGGAGTCACTGGAGATGCTCATGTTGTCATCATCATCAGCAAACACAACATCTCCAATACATTCTTCTTCTTCCTGCTGCGTTTCAGCTAGTCCACATGCCACAAGCGGTAACACCACCGACACTGGTCTTGCACTGGTTGCAGCCTGAGAGTGTGGACAGTGTGAAGTCACGTCGTCTGCCTGTAGCGACATCTCATCCTCCTGGTTCGCGGCAGCCATCATCCCATCGCTGCTCGCAACAGGACTGGACGAGCTGGGAGAAGAAAACAACCGCGAAGACAGCCTGCCGACAGGAGAGGGTGTGCTGCCATTCAGCTGACAGGATGACTGTAGTGGCAGCTCCTTCTGCTGCTGCTGCTTCTGTTGCTGTTGATATTTGTGTAAGTGGTCTGATGGACTGCACGCCCGGGGACTATTTAGAGATACAGAAGAAATATCAGTGGTAGGAGTAGAGGCACCGGCAGCAGCATCATGCGCAGGCATTGAAGCATCACGCACAGGCATTGCAGGATCATGCACCAGCATTGCAGCATCATGCACCAGCATTGCAGCATCATGCACATGCATTGCAGCATCATGCACAGGCATTGCAGCATCCATTGCATTCATCTCATTGTCCCGGCCAATTTGTCCAGCTCCGATAGCAGTAGCAGCAGCAGCAACAGCTGATGCAGGACCAGTATCCTTGGTAAAAGCCTGCTGCACCTGAGAGTTGAGACGGTTGGAGAGGCGGCCAACAACAGACAAGCCCCCCGATGAGCTACTGATAGTCGGTGAACTTGCACACCTGGCATCCACCGTGCTGCTTGAACTGTGTCTAGTGCTACTCGTTCTCTCCAATGGAGTTGCTTCGTTGCAGGTCAGCGAGCCAGCGGTGGCATCAGCGGAGATGAGGCGGTGGGACAACTTGCCAAGTCTGCAGATCACTGCCTTTGAGTCGGCCTGGTTGGGTCGGACACTGTTGCCGCTGCCTTCACTTCTACACCTAGAAGGCATTGTCGATGATGATGATGGCACATGTGGGCTTGGTGATAGTCTGGTAGCAGCGGTCTGACCATCACTGCCAGGATCGTGACCAGCATAGGAACATGAAGATGGCGTTGAAGCCGCTGATGGAACGTCAGGAAACTGGAATTCATGTGCCCACTCGCTCGTACTGTCTCTGCCGGTCGACGGTGGGTAACGAGACGATGCGCCGCCGTTACCTTTGCTGAGAACTGGTGCAGTTACCGGATGCTTTAAGCTATTCAGCGGAGATCTGCGCCTGCAGTGGTTCACTTCTTTGGTTCTCCTTGAGCTGCCAGCATCAGAGTTAGGGCCACTAGGAACATTCTCGGAGCTCGAGGACGGCGGGAGACTGAAACTGGAGGCGCAAGACTGCAGAGACTGCATTGATGAGCAGCTGCCAGTAGACTTTGGAGATAGCTCAGGGGGAGGTGGCTGTCTTGATGGTGGTGGTGGAAACGGTGGTAGAGGTGGTGGCGGTGGCGGAGGCATTGAAGGAGGTGGTGGGACCTTTGGAGGTGGAGGCGGCGGCGGCGGTGGAGGGGGTGCCTGTGGCATTACATGATTGTGCTTCCCGCTGGTGTTGCTGCCATTACTGCTACTACAGCCGCCAGAACTGGCAGAACCTCCACCAGCACCACCACCGGCACCACTCTGTGATGATACCTTGAATGAGTACATGTGCGTGGTAACGGTTTGCTGAAGCTTATCTAGCATGATGTCCATGCTTGTCCTGCAGATGAACAAGTGGGACAAGTACAAGCATGCACGCACACATGCACACGTGCATACACACAGTATGGTTAGCAACATTATATGCACACACACGCACGTATGCACGCACGTATGCACGCACACACACACACACACACACACACACACACACACACACACACACACACACACACACACACACACACACACACACACACACTTGTACTTGTATTTGTACTTGCTCACTGCCAAAACTGGTCACGTGGGTCTCCCTGGGAGAGGGGAGAGAGACTCAAAAGGAATCTTGGAAAGATGACTCAATTGGCCATTGTTTGTTGTTTCTTTATTTTACTTCACCATATGAACATTGAACCACCCAACGGCCGACACCCCCTGAAATCCCCAAACTAGGGTGGATTTGAAATGATCCCACTTATGGGCTCACCACACCTCAGTAAGTGGGTGAGGACAAGGTGCAGAAAAAGGATTGACGGCATCAGGGTATCCGTCCCGGGATCCAACTGCAGGTACCCCCTGCCCCCAGTGATGGTAATACTTGGTACTAGTGTGGGTGGCTAAATCAGACAAGCTTCACTAGCACCATTGATTACACAAGAGTTAATCTAGCCAGAAGCAGTCCATGGTTCACACACACACACACACACACACACACACACACACACACACACACACACACACACTTGTACTTGTACTTGTACTTGTTGCTCACTGCCAAAACTGGTCACGTGGGTCTCCCCGGGAGAGGGGAGAGAGACTCAAAAGGAATCTTGGAAAGATGGCTCAATTGGCTATTGAACCGCCCAACGACCGACACCCCCTGAAATCCCCAAAACTCTGGGTGGACTTGAAAATGATCCCACTTATGGGCTCACCACACCTCAGTAAGTGGGTGAGGACAAGGTGCAGAAAAAGGATTGACGGCATCAGGGTATCCGTCCCGGGATCCAACTGCAGTTACCCCTGCCCCCAGTGAAGGTAATACTTGCTACTAGTGTGGGTGGCTAAATCAGAGTGAATCTGATATAAGCGTCACTAGCACCATAGATTACACAAGAGTTAATCTAGCCAGAAGCAGTCCATGGTTAACAGGTATGTATACTTCAAATAGAAAGTATATGAACCCTGAAACCAACAAAGGTGGCAGATACAACAATACACCATCATGCAGCCGAGCCTGTTGGCAACAGACCCAACACAATCAGGCATAAGTGTACCCACCAACCGAACTAGCTGGCACACACACACACACACACACACACACACACACACACACACACACACACACACACACACACACACACACACACACACACACACACACACACACACACACACACACACACACACACACACACACACACACACACACACACACACACACACACACACACACACACACACACACACACACACACACACACACACACACACACACACACACACACACACACACACACACACACACACACACACACACACACACACACACACACACACACACACACACACACACACACACACACACACACACACACACACACACACACACACACACACACACACACACACACACACACACACACACACACACACACACACACACACACACACACACACACACACACACACACACACACACACACACACACACACACACACACACACACACACACACACACACACACACACACACACACACACACACACACACACACACACACACACACACACACACACACACACACACACACACACACACACACACACACACACACACACACACACACACACACACACACACACACACACACACACACACACACACACACACACACACACACACACACACACACACACACACACACACACACACACACACACACACACACACACACACACACACACACACACACACACACACACACACACACACACACACACACACACACACACACACACACACACACACACACACACACACACACACACACACACACACACACAGTTTCAAGCATACAGTGATCATCAGACAGCATTGGCTACCGATTGCATTCGTACTATGAGTGATCCCCCTAAAAGATGTGCAAGAAATACTAGCATGAGGAAATGCACTCTATCCACCCCATCTTCCCACATTCTCGTGTCTGGACGACTGGACGCCTACAAACAGGATTCGCACATGACCCTTGTCTAGGTCCAAAAAAGGCAACTGCTAAGAAACTGTTATGATTGTACTTTTTTTTAACACAATTCTGAATTTTTCACAAATACACTTTCATGCCTTCTCTTCAGGTGATATACAGACAAGAGCAAATTGGAACAAGAACAATGAGTTACGTACAGCAGGGAGGTGATGAAAGAGTGCAAAGAAGAAGTGCTTAAAACAATGATAAATGCGTGACCCATACACACGGAAAGAATGACAAAAAGGTACAAGTGTGAAGAAAACCTAACAAACGTGAAACGTAGTGCGACAACAATAGACAACCAATGGACGTAACGAACGAGTTGTTGACGACCTACCTAACGGCCTAAGTGTGAATTTAACATTACTCAAAGAACTTTATGAATCTGCTTCTGTAACACAAAACACAAAGAAACCGAACCTATAACAGTTCACATTTGTTAGATTTCTTCACACTAGCACATTTCAGCGGCGGATCCAGAGTTCATCTGAGGGGAGGGCGCGGGTAATATTCATGACAGGGGAACCTATGCCGTACCTGTATTTTGTACACATTACGACATAGCGGCTATTTTACATCATAGGCTTAGCGGTTATGTAGAATTACTATTTTAGCACATGCACTCACTCCCACTTTTTCAACCACTTCATTGAGGACTCTGGCTGTAGTAGAACATAGCCGTACTACTCGTACATTGAATTGTGTAAAGGTAGTGCTTCAAAGCTCCAGACATGCTGAGATCGAGAACAATGGCAAAATAATAAAATATACGATTACTTGGATGGCCATGTCCAGCAGTAAGAATGGATGATGAGGTATTCACCTCGGGTTGATCCTTGTCGAAGCAATGTAGGAAACGGGGCGCACGGCGCACAAAAAACGCCTTCCTCGCCAGCCTTTCCAGAATAGGCAAGCCACTCAAACCTCTTCAGTAGCAGCAAGCGAGTGGAAGTACCGGTCTTTCGGCGGCTGTCGGGATAATCCCTAGATGGCAACACCGTCTGCTTATCAGGCTTCCGGATCCCAAGTATGCTGCGCTTTTCTGCATCGCTGAGAGTTGCACCGCCAATAGGTGCATCAACAGCATCCGAGTAACTTCGCTGCGTAGCAGTGCCACCAGCCACATTCGTGGCAGTCACAACATCGTCATCTGCGATAGTTTCAACAGGTAAACGCTCCTAACTCGCATCACTACTACTGACAGTCCCACCATCGTCGTCAGAATCTACTTCGGATTCCATTTGGGGAAGATCAGAGTCTGAGCAGACCTCGATCTCAGTGTTGTACCTGCGCCTGCACGTGTTATCTCTTCGTCGTAGCTGCTGCTGTATTTGTGTCTCTGTGTGTACATGTGGTTGCACGTGTTGTCTCTTCGTCGTAGCTGCTGCTGTATTTGTGTCTCTGTGCTGCTGACCCGTACATGCTGCTGCGCTGCTTTGTTGCTGACCCGTACATGCTGCTGCGCTGCTTTGTTGTTGACACGTGCACCTTTTTGTGCTGAGTACACCACCTTTTGTGCTGACGAGGGCACCAATTTCTGATATCATGTTTTCCTTTTGCCATGTCAGAGTCAGTTGTCCGACGTTCGTCGTCAGTTGTGAGACGTTCGTTGTCAGAGTCAGTTGTCCGACGTTCGTCGTCAGTTGTCCGACGGTCGTCGTCAGTTGTCAGACGTTCGTTGTCAGAGTCAGTTGTCCGACGTTCGTCGTCAGTTGTTAGACATTCGTTGTCAGTGTTAGTTCTCCATTATGAGTTCTTCCGTCGCCGCTTGAAGTAAACTATGAAAAACTCTCTCTCTAGCTCTAGAGAAAAACCACTGATTAGTTCGTTTTGAGGTGTGGCGTGGCGAGGATAGAAGAGGCAGTTCGTTCTCAACCTTCCGAGACGACATTAGGATCTTCGCGGTGGTCCGAATTCTCCTCCAAAGACGGATCGCTCGACTGAGCAGCTGACGAAGCGCAAGTTTGCTTCGCGAAAAATCCGTGGAGAGTTTGTTGGCTCCCTAGCCGCTTGGGCGGGCGGTGCGCCATCCCCTTCACCGACTTAGCTATACAAGTTCGTGAACTGAACACTAATTTCAAAACTAAAAGTCAACCAAAGTCTAAGAGAACAACTACTCCGTGTTCAGAAGAACTTTCTTACCTGACACTAGAAACTACTTGTCACAGCATGTGCAAACACTTGCGCAACTGCCCATGTGCCTGCACTAAAAAAAATCGAACTGTTTGAGGGGAGGGCGCGCGCCCACCGCGCCCTCCCCTAGATCCGCCACTGCATTTGTTTGCCATTCTTTCTATGTGCATGGGTCAAGCATTTATCATCGCTGTTTTTTAGCTGTTCTTCTTTACGCTGTGTTATCACCTCTTTGCTGCACTTAATTCATTGTTCTTGCTCCTGTTTGCTCTTGCCTGTATACATTACTTATCAACTAAAAGGGAAGGCACAAAAGTTTATTAGTAAAACACTTCAGAATGTTGTTGAAGAACCTGAAGGTTGTGCTCCCACTAAGTGTTAGAGCTTCTCTCTTTTTTTTCAACTCCGAGGAAACTTTGTACTTTTTAAAAGTTCCAATTCAGTGCACTTACCCAGCTGGAAAGGCTTTGAGTGAACTAGTGGCACTCGACATCATCTCATCCATTTGTTTCTGATTTAGACCTGACACACGCAAACAAGCAGCCATCCAAGACCAGACACATGAAAGCCAAGAGAGCGTTTGCCGCCATTGTCACTCCGAAACTGAGACGATTCAAAGTAGGCAGCAGCAACACGTTACAAGCCGGGATGAGCAACGCCAGCAACTGAAGAACCAAGCGCCACACTGGCCCACAGTCATTGAAGTACTCTGTACTTGTACAGACAGCAGCGGCTTACCTCCCAAAAGTAAAGGTAGAAATGGGTTTCTACTGGCGACTCTCATCAATGCAGACAATGCATCACCATTGAACTCGTCCAGCATTGTCCGGCTGCTAGTAGCTTCACGCACTTCTGCTTTCGATCGCCTGTGTTTGCTCTCTACTCTGTTGGTTCCTGCTGCAGCATGAGCAGGGGCTGGGTTACTTTGATTCGATTGGCTGACATGCTTGAATGCGACATTGGCAGATCTGGGTGCACCGGATGACGACGCTTCAGACACTGGCGGAGGTGCAGCCACTGGCAGTGCTATTGACGCTGTGCTTGTCGCTGAGGATACCGCACTGGATGACAGCGGCCCACTACCTCCTGTCTGCTGCATCGGTGTGCCTGACACACATGATACCATGTCGGCTTGGAGCGCATGCCTATGTCGACGTCCTGAGTGGCGCTGATGCTTTTGCTGTTGCTGCTGCTGCTGCTGGCCTGATCCAGGCGCAGGAGTGGAGTGTTGCAATCGATCGACAGAGCACTGATCAGGTGACATAGCAGATGTTCTGCTACCATTGCCTCCTTCAACTGATGCTGTGCTCTCTGCTGCTCTTAACCTAGGATCTTTGGTAGGATGTTGGTGGGCCACAACTGCAGACGGCGGCCGAGTGAAAACAGCAGAGATCTGACTGTTTCTCGTCGCCTCTCCATGAGAAGCAATGGATTGGGAAGTCGACGAGGTCAGCAGCTCCCTGCCAGTTCCTGTGCTCAGGCTCAATGGTTTGGATTCCTGCAATGGCTTGCTTACCATCAGGGGACATTTGCGTTTAGCAGCTGGTGGAATAGCTAGCATGGGTAGACGTGGCCGCTCTCCGTGCGATACATCGTCCAATTTGTCCGCGGACGGCCACGAACGAGCAGCTTCCTCCGGCTGACTTTCACTGGACAGTCGAGTATGGCTGCCATCGCTAGAGCCAGACTTTCTCTTGATTCGGATGGACGGATGGCTAGCATAGCTTCGCCTAGCACCTAGTTACACCAACATAGCACGTACCCGGCATGGCAGAATGCAACGTATTTCTCTTAGCTGTGAACACCTTAGACAAGACTGGAACTCAATAGGTCACACACTAGTACACAAAGGCAACAGTCGGGCAAACCGATTGCTAGTACATGCAGTACGATATAAATAACTTCACACATACAATTTGATGCATAGCTATTTCCGTTGAGTACTCTTCGTGTTCGTAGTGTTGAAGAATATATTGCTCCATTCTCCATCAAAGTTTACTGAAGATGCATGGCTGCCGGTCCAATCCGACTTAGGCTGATTCGTCCTGGTTGCCTACTATCTGCTGGAATCGGGCATAATCCAATAAATCCATTATCTGATGCTTTCGATTTATGTGCATGTGTGTACCTTGATTGGTCTGGTACTGATTTATTAACCGATACCCTGTTCATGGTGTCTCCTGAAGGCATGATCTTCGTATGCACTGTATATACCCAGAATGCAGAAATTTTGTAGCCGGTGTATGCTCTCCCAATAAGATAATTTTACTTCCCGGCTACAATTCCAATACAAAAACTACTGCCATTGGATACTGTGCTCTTAGAGTGCGCTCATAGCACACCTTATTTGACTGCTGTTTCGGCAACCTTATCTTTTCAGTAAGTAGTAATTTAAAAGTAAATTCATAGGACCTACAAGGAGAACACAGCAAAAGTACCCAGCAAGCACACAGTCACAGTCCCGTACCTCCGGTGCAGATGGACCGGATTTCTATTCCTCCCTACCTAGCAACCCCCCCCCCCCCCCCCCCGCATGCTCGCAGTATCATTGATCTCCCAGTCGCACATACCTGACGCCGACGATTCACCTGGTGGTTGTGCGACGGGAGCTGGCTCAGCAGCAGTCACAGCAGCAGCAGCAGTCACAGCAGCAGAAGCAGTCACAGCTGCAGAAGCAGTCACAACTGCAGCACCACTAGTTGCATCAACAGCTGTGTGCGGCACAAACACAGACATTTAAAAGGATAAGGTGCAGCAGCATCGTCATCACAACCCCAGTAAAACAGCACGCAGGGATTGTATTCAACCAATCACTATTAGATACCAAAGACTAGAAAAGAATCTGGACGGCTAAGCTCCGGAGAAGGCTGGCACCAGTTCACACAACCACCGCTGCATTCCAATTTGAATCCATACTATGAGTACTGTACTCAAGCTAATAGTGCTGCATTGAGAGGAGCATGACAAGCAGCACTTACATTGCACTGGAACAGGCTGTTGGACGGCGGCAGGAGAAGAGCAGATACTCGACTCGCTTGGCCAGATGAGCAGACCGTGAAGACGTGCGCTCACAGACATATCACTCAGCCCTGCAGTACACGACACGCACACATGAACACACACTCAGTCTCCCCTCCTCGCCCTCATTTCAGAATCGACAGAATGAGATTCTGTCGATTCTGAAGACGAGATTTGTGTATTCATTATTAAAACAAACGATTCATTCACTGTACAGAATTCTAAAATGCACGCAATTATGCGTAATCGAATGGGTCCAGTTACTACCATGCCTCATGACAGCTGTAACAAATTAGTGACCACATACCAATGTCACGACTGAAGCTGGAAGTAGGGATTAGGTAGAGACGATGTTTTGCAGATAGTGTGACTACACCAGCCTGCCATAGAGGACAGGCAGAAAACAAAAAAAGGGAGCACATGCGTGAACAAATGCATTCACAAAAAGCCAAGCCAAGCCAGCCCTCCCCCCCCCCCCCCCCCCCTCCAACACACACACACACACACACACACACACACAAACAAGAACACACATGCACACATGGATATGCACAGACACGAACGGACACACACCTACACACACACACACACACACACACACACACACACACACACACACACACACACACACACACACACACACACAACTTCCAATACATGTATCAACGTTGACATAATTATTTTTTAGGAGTATGGCAAGCAGCACATTTGCCCACAGTGAAACTACGGCCAGTGAAGTGACAATACAATGTATTGTCTACAGTTTTTGCATAGAATAAGAAAGTCATGTCATTTTCATACCCAGGGTATGGTTCGCACACAAGTGTACGCTTCTCGTTGGCTGAGAATTCGAAAGAAACGAGAAGCAATGTTCTCTCGAACTTCGAATATTTGCGAAGCTTGTTGTATTATTTTTTGTTGTGGCACGCAGTGCAGGTTGACGTCACTGTAGTGACGTAATCGTTGTTGAGCGAGTGCTGTGAAACAGCGCTTGCGCAAAAAGATTGTCCTTCTTTTTGTCTTGCTCATCAAGGGTGCAGTCCGTTTTGTACACAGCGGAGAAGTTTTCTTTTTTGCAAATTGTGGTAACTTATTTTTTGCAATCATGCTTATTTTATCTGGGTGGTCATTCTGCACTAACTGTTGCTGTATCATTTTGCCTCGAATTCTGGCAACTCTGTTTTCCCCTTGAAACAAGGCAATGTGGCTGTCCGCAGCCGACCCTGCACTGTGGTTTTGCTGTTGCAAATGTGAGGTGTGAGAGAGAACTGGTTAACACAAAGAGGTACTTAATACTTACCCATTGGTTGGCAAAAAAGAACTCTGTCAACTTCCTACAGTTCTGCTGTTCATCTTGCTCGGGCCGTATTTCACAGTAGAAGTAGCAGCTTGAGCCATGGCACACTGCAAAGTGCACAAACACATGCACGTACGCACACAAACACACACACACACACACACACACACACACACACAACATACACACACACACACACACATTACTGGAGGTTCATCCTGACAGACAAGCAGCTCACATACATGCTTTGCTCAGCTGTGAAAAAAACCTCTCTACATATCAACACACAAAACGTGCAATATTTGATCGCATATCATCTTCAGAGCTCACCCGATTGAGTACGAGCCTTCTTTGGGTTGCCACAAGTAAAAACCGGAATCTGCTGAAGTAACAACCTCAGTCTGACAAACGTGGTCTTGGACCTGATGTTGATCGTGCTTCCACTGGGATAGGAAAGATAGAGAAAGTGATGTTTTGCTTAAAATATACTAGTAGAGCGATAGTGCCTGCAACAATGGCAGTCCACTGGGAATTACACATCCCAGAAATAAGGTGTAATAGAACAAGTCCTAAACAACGACATGCCAGTGCCAGTACTAGCTTTGTAACAGGGGGCATGCTTGCGAACAAACATTTTTTTTAAATTAAAATTGTTCAAGGCATGGTGCCTTCTCATCAGAGAAGGACTATCCGATTCTCTTAACACAAAGTATGTGAATTAAATTCCTTTGGGTGCAAACTCATTGTGGTCTAGTGCGTGAACGCGGTGTAGCACGGGCTGCAGTCATGGTAAGCAATTTTACAAAAAGACGAGGAGAGTGGGGGTGGCATTATGGTACACTCACATTGGACATGGTAAATCCTCGTCACAAAACGTGGAGAGGGAGACTTCTGCAAGGTACTTGTCCTTGTTGAGGAGAGGACCGCTCCATACCTTCTAAAGATACCAAAAACAGACACACGCAATCAACGTGAATGGGACACATCTTTGCTGAGCAGGTGCTCGATCAGCAGGCTTAGCACACAAAAAAACCATATGACCGCAAGCAATGGCAAGCTCAAAACCAAGACTGACCACTAACAGGCATTACATAGTGCGTATTCCCTACTCTTGTAGCCAGACCCGTTGCAACCTTTCACACGAACCACCAGTAGCCAAACCATTCTAGAAGGAAGCACTTGGTCCTGTGACTTTCGCCAACAACTAAGCTTGGCGGAAGGACAAGCAATCCCCTGGCTCCTGTGTGCGGGGTCATGGACTAGGTCGACCACTGGTATAACATGAGAACATATGGCAGATGGTGAAGAAGATCTCACCATCTGCTTGTGCACTCCAGTGGAAACTGCAAATCAGAGAACGTGTCAGGCTTCAGTAGACAGTATACTGCGGCAAGTACATGTATGCATAATGGCTCCTTGTACGATCGTATCGCAATGCCACAGTTAACAGTATCCTTCATGAAGCCCCTGCTGTACTGAACAAACCACTATTACCACATTTTGTGCATCCATGTGGTAGGCTACTGTATAAGCAGAAAATTTCGTCGGTCAATAATTTCGTCCAACTCCAAAGAAAGGGAGTTCGTTCGGTTGTAAATTCCGTCCATTGATCATAAGAGTGTATTAAAAAGCTGGACAAATCGATATTAGTCCGGCATTTAATTTAGTCCAAAAGCTCCTTGGACGAAAAAGACGAAATTAAATTCCAGACGAATATTTCTGCTTATACAGCATTCGTTGTCAAGTGTTATTTTCGATCAAATGAGTTGTTACACAGAGTTCAGCAACTGCACCATGATCAGAAAGATTCACAGTCTCGCACCCTGATCCTTGGTTGCGCCGAAAAAGAAAAAAAAAGATGTTTGCACTGAATCTGTTATTGCACAGATGCGTCGACGGGAAGCATGTGTCCCTTTCTTTACATGCCTTTCTTTTTTTAGATTTACTGAATTGAAATAAGACCATCCAGAATAAGTTTGTTGTTCCGCGTCACCCAACCAACCGTCACTTTTCAGTTTTCACCCGACCGCAAATATATTTGTTGGTCCCAAGTTGCATGGACTAGTCACGGGTACATGACTGTGCACATGACTGCGTGCACACGAAAACAGCACAAGGAGCAAGGAATGTTTCCGTAAGGATCTCACGGATAGGCAGGCAACATTCTCACACTTCAATTTCGCTTCGACGGAGCATCACTCAGAGAAGCCATGGGCGAAATTGAACATGTTCTCACAATGCCAGCGGTGTGTGCGTTCGTGATCGATTTTCAACAGTCCAGGCATCGCCCTCTGAAGCAGCCAAATGACAGGATGCACCGCTTGGTAACGACGTTAGTCTGCACTTGGAGTCTGACTGTCATTTCATCTTCTATTATCCGCAATCGCTCCTGAAAAAACACCAGCCCGCCTCCTCGTCGCTCGTCGACAGATTCTCGGATGAGAGCTGCTCGTCAGACTCGTTATCCAGCGAGGCCAAGATTATGGTCCTGGCGGGACAACTGACAGCGCTGGATCGTCCACAGCAAGATTCCAGATCAACTGGTTTGATTACCGGTAGAGTATGTAATATCTACATGTAATACAGTCGTCCCTCTCTAATCCGGCACTTTATAATCCAGCACCCTCGATAAACCAGCACAATTTTCAGAAGCCAAATGTCCCCTTCATGCACATTGCAGCAGTAGATCAGATTTGTTAATCCAGCACCCTCCCTAATCCAGCAGATTTCCGTGGCACAAATGGTGCCGGATTATAGAGGGACCACTGTAATAATATCTTTATTAGGATGACCCAGAGCCCTTGTCGCCTATCAAGGGGTTCACCGCTTTGAAGGGTGTACATGTACGTGTACATGCATGGCAGGAAAAAAAACGGATCGACCAACCCTGGTACTGATGAGTGAAGTCACGCGAAAAAACGACTTGATTCTGGGCGGCCCTATTCGCTACATTTTCAAATTAGATATCTGCAAAACGAGTCGTTGGCTGGATTAGACAGAAAGAATTCCCCAGCACCCCGTCCGCACCAGTGTTCGTTGTTGCTCCACACCCCCTTTGGCTTTTGTCATGCCGTGTGTCCCGCGCTATCTCAGACGGGAGTTGTGCATCATGTGCACAAGTGGGTCTTCAGATAAAAAGCAAACAAACAAAAACTAGGAACTTTAACACTACGGGATTGATACCTATGGGCTATGGACCCCCTACTAGCCCTCCCTTCACGACTCGTGCAGGACACGGTATGCACTGACAAACGCGGTCACGTCAGTCGGTGAACTATTTGCTAGTACGCCAAATATGCAGCCGACACCCGTACCCACGTCCAACGTGACCCACGTATGGACCACGGACCGATGCGTATATGCCAAAACCACCCTCATCATCCAAACACAAACAATAAGTTCAAACACCGGTACCACTCAACCTCAAATTGTCTCGACTGACCCCCGAATCAAGAGCCCCGACGTGCGAAGCAACATTGCGAGTGCCATGCCATACGGTACACGGGCCATTTACGGCAGCACAGCATGAAAAGCCGACAGGATATTTTTTGAAGCGAAATTCCGGACGAAATGAAAATGCATTTCGCAGGCTTAGCTAGCTGTCGTGGAGAAATAAAAAAGCATGTCCATTATTCGAGCACTTACCCTCGCCATCAGGAATTCAGGACAGTATTTCTGGCCGCAACACAAGCATCATTCTCCTTTGGTCAAATAATTTTATTCCGTGACGCTAACAGTCAACTCTGGACTATAATTTTAATACTCGATATTGTACGACCAAATGCAGCAGCAGTAGCAGCAGCGATGGTATCTAAAAAAGCAAGACATGGTTCACTGCTACGTGTGCCAGATGACACGGCCAGAAAAGGAGAACACAGCGCCAAAACGGGGAGAAAGAAGCTACCAGCAACTAACATGAAAGGTTGAGCAAGAATGAACGGATCGGAGTGGCCTGGCACAGCATGGCAGCAGGTGCTAACAATCTGTCGCCTCACATCCTAGGTGAGGAAGCGTATCTAGCTACAGCTGCTTCTTTCTCGTCGCGAAGACTTGCCATGCTGGACACACGTACTGACGCGTGATGACGTGACGTGGGCCTAGCATGCTAGCATCATCAGCATACACAATGAATCATGGCAATCTGCATTATTGCATAGCGCGCCTCAAAGCTCGCACACAGGAAATGAGGGGATAAACAATCCATGCCAGAAAAACGTCTGTTAGTCACGTGTTGGTGTACGATAGTATAGTGGTTATCAGCTCGTTACATTTGTCACATGTTGTGGAGATCCAGAGAGTTTGGTGGGCGACATGTCGACAAAGCGCTATACACAGCGCTGGTAGATCTACATGGGTCACCGGTCACCGGCAGCTAGCTACGCGGACGATCTACGAGTAGGACAGACCACAGTCAGTAGCCGTAGCTGACACTTTTAAGTTTTATCCGGCACACGGCCCAGTACTGGCAGTAGGCGATAGGGCCATGCCTAGACTCTACAGATCGACTCGGCGATACGGCCAGCAAGCAGTCTCCAACACTCAACAGTCCAAGAAAGAGTGGCAGTGCGAAGCAGACTCCACTGCACATGTCATGGAGATGGAGATCGACGAACGTTGTCTCACCGTGCTTGTCAAGTACTGAAGAGTCTCTTGTGTACCTGTGCATTACAGCAACTCCGGTGCATTTTTCCTCTAGAAGAACTGTATCCTCACTGATTCCACTAGTCCAGACTGTCTTTACTCCGGGTAGTTACTAGTAGCAGTGCCTAGTGGTACAGTACTTGATTACATGACTGTACTACAATCTTGATCCATGAATGATAATGTGCATCACCAACAAGCCAAAGCAAGCCTTGGCAAAGGCAAGAGCCCCATTTTAAAAATAAAGATATTTTCATAGGACTCCAATGTTCAACAGTACTCTTCGCAGCCTCTTTTGCAACACATATTGGCATAGTATGCAGCCACCGTTTTCTTTTTTCTTTACTCTATTTCACGCACTTACGGCTTTCTTCATTCAGCTCTATTTCACGCACTTACCTGGGGTACCCTGTAAAAAGACTCACAGTCTGTGGGGATTGCCCTAGTAAAAATACTACTTCTCCACAACCAGTTAAGTGTTGCAGTTTTACAACTAACGTTACGTTACTTGATCATGATTGTACAATCTATGTTGCTGAATACTTATCACTGCTTGATACTGCGAGGGCAGAGGCAAAAGACACAAGTTAGCCATGGCGCAACGAGGCTAACAATTTTGCACTATTCCTGACGGTCAATGCATGCGGTCACGGCCCCACCGATATCCGAGCACGGCGCCTTCAAGGCACCTCCACCTACTACACTGCCTGATGATTAGCCCAATTGGCATGCCGGAGACTTCAGAGTAACAAAAAAGTGTAGCCTCGTTACATTGCTAACTCGTGTCATGAAGTATCTAAATTGTTATCATAAATCTCATCCATTTGGTTTGTCTTTGACGATGTAACGTTGACTCTATTAAAGGGGAAGTTAAGGCAAAAATCAAAATTTCACCAGTTGTAGACTTCGGGGTGCTGAGTCGAATGGTCTTGGTCCGAGAAAGCTGAGACGCTCCCTTCCTACTTAAATCCCAATCGAACTCGCGCACTTCCACCGAAACTGGGTGACTGTGCCCTACTAGATGGGGATTTGTATGCAAAATGTCACTAAAAGCGCCATTTCGTTCTTATAAAAGCACGGATGACCGCGATTGGCCCATATGTTGTACTCTTTTGGACGCTGAGTCGACTGGTTTTGGTCCGAAAAGGCTGCGATGCAGCGTTCCTCCTTTATTCCCAATCGAACATGGTTGAACAAGCGGTCACGTGCTCCTGGGTGCCCAAATCACCTGGTCACCACGCCAGCAAGCGACAACTACTTTCACACCAAGGTTCAACTCGAGTTCAACTCGAGTGACAGGACTGCACCCAAAAAAGGTCGAACAGGCTAGTATAGTAGTAAGTTGTACCCTGCAGGCACGGTGACCAGATGACTGGTGTACGCAGGAGCACGTGACCGCTTGTTCAACCATGTTCGATTGGGAATAAAGGAGGATCGCTGCATCGCAGCCTTTTCGGACCAAAACCAGTCGACTCAGCGTCCAAAAGACTACAAGTTCATATGGGCCAATCGCGGTCATCCGTGCTTTTATAAGAACGAAATGGCGCTTTTAGTGACATTTTGCATACAAATCCCCATCTAGTAGGGCGCAGTCACCCAGTTTCGGTGGAAGTGCGCGAGTTCGATTGGGATTCAAGTAGGAAGGGAGCGTTTCAGCTTTCTCGGACCAAGACCATTCGACTCAGCACCCCGAAGACAACTGGTGAAATTTTGATTTTTGCCTTAATTTCCCCTCAAAGAACGTCAAAAATTCAGAATTTTGACATTTTCCTTTGGCTATTGAAGGGTTAAGGTCTGAGGCCAAAGGACAGGTACATGTACATGTAGGTGTGTTAACGTGTTAGCAGTGAGACTGAGACTTGAGAGCAATGAGTGCATGGGCAACCATGGTAATAACATAGGGTAGTTTCACAGTAGACCGCGGCGGGCTGTTTTTATTCAGAACTCCGAGTTTCACAATTGAACCATCTGATCCTCAGACCAGGGTAGTTTCCACGGTTTCTGAACCTCGGTAGTGCGCAGGGAGTTGTCAAATACAGGTATTTGACAACTCCCTGGTGGTGCGGCATTGTCCGTGCTTGCAGCCATGTCCTCCGAGAAGTAGTAACAGTACACAGCAACGGTAACCCATTAGTTATCACTTATCAGGTTATAGTAAGTGTACGTCTTGCTTGTGAGTTTACCATGCAGGTAAGTGACAAGGGCAGCATATATTACGAGGCCATTCAGGAAGGACACAATGTACCCCCCCCCCCCCACTACAGTGTGTCCTCCAATCTGTATTTCGTATGCTGCCATTGTCATGGTTGATAAATATGGTGGTAAAGACACACCCGGCAACATGGCGGTAAACACACGCCTGCCCACACACGCTCTTGCCCCTTACCACCATATTTATCAACCATAAGTACAGCTGCAGTGGTGTCTTCAACTTCATTCTGCCATTGTCATGCCTAGGCTATAGTGTATACATCTACATGACTGTATGTCGGACAGTCCCTATGTATGTCGATGCTACAATGAAGGCACAGGCTAGAGTCAAAATAAGTGCAGTACTTCCATGTCTGCAATCCAAACTATGCCTGGCTTTGGAGGCAGTTGGGGGCTTCAATAGGAACCTTAGCACTGGCATACGAGTGTGAGACGAGTACGAGTTGAATACATTATAATTATTCCGTTACAGTCAAGGATTCGTAAGAGCTCTGTAGAAAGCCTCATTTATACGAGTACACATGCCTCTTCATTGCTCGGCTGCTGCTCTGATCCGAGTGGAGTTCTGTCTCGCACCCATCTGCAAACGTGAAAGGTCTAAAGTGTCTCACGAGTCACGAGAGATACTGATTATAACAACACTGATCATGCGCACTTACTATTGTCTCACCAGGTCTGGTGTTGATGTCACCAGGTCTGGTGTTGATGACGGGCATACAGTATAGTGAGACTCGCCTTGTACTCTTTTTTTAAAGTACTCTGATTAGATGCACACTTGCACTGAGTATGTTGGGATAAGACTGAGTACCTCGGATACGATCCTAGGAAGTTTACTGTTCCCCATGGAAGGTGTTTTATCAAAGTTCCACCGTATCCCAGAGTTATACCATGTAAGTTAGCTAGGAAAATCTGCAAGGGGGGCAGGGGCAGAAGAGTATACAATGTAAGAGCATACTAGTAGCCTGGAATGCAAAGTATTATTATTAGTACTCGAGTCCCTACACATATTGATACAATAGCAAGAGTCCATAACCCCCCTGGCTATGGACTCTTGACAATAGTAATAAATTTTAAAAGCGCTATCCAAGTCATTTGACCTTGGATACGCGGACTATCTTGGCTAGTTTTAAAGCGTGCAGCGTGCGTGCTTGGGTCCTTGGGGTATGTTCTGTAATTTCACTCTATTGCACCCACAGTCGGAGGGTAGACCTTTTCCCCCAGGAGAACAATGCTGGCTCTGCGGAAAACGGGTCTAAACAGTACTCAACTTTACACCTCCGATAAAGGGCGCAAGCACTCGGATTCTAAAAGCTCAGTGCTAGGTAAGAAGGGGGTGATGTGTGTTGTATTGAGTCTATTGACAGTCTGTGTGGCTGGGTTTCATGCTAGTGTCCATACAGCCAGACAGTCCACATGATGCACCTCTCATTGACAAGCGCAGGAATGCTGTTCTCATATTTTTCAGTACGCCATCCAATGTCCATACTCGTACACTGAACAGCAGATGCACTTTTAAAGTATGCTAAAACAGGCCTAAGGAAACAACGTTACCAGGAATGCTCTAAGGAAGCAACGTTACCAGGAATGCTCCAGGGCAACGTGTATAAATCTTGACTAAGCACACATCAGTGGCAATGCGTATCCACGCCTTCTAACAGAATAGTTCAAAATTTAAGACAGGCTCTAATCAAGACCGACTGTGTGGATGGAGTAGGCTGAAAGTAAAGAATTGAAATACTACTAAAAAGAAACAACATTAAACAGTGCTGATAGCGTCTCACCTCGCTCACACTTAACTAAGCCTTCACTCAGAAAGATGACTTCCGAGAAACTAGTCGACTCCATACACCTCAATGCATATGGACAGAAATCACCTAAAATGTACAAACATATACAATACAATACAATACAATAGTAAAGTCTAGACATGCAACAATATCAAATCAGCATCAAGTCGATGTAGCAGTTCAAAATGCAACAGTTACGTCTCCACAAAAAAGACCAGCTCCAGCACACCAATAGAAAGAAAGCACTTCACTCGGCATGGGGAAACGCTGAAGAGAGAGAGAATATTATATCACTGGGGCATACACTGCTGGTGCGGTGGTCTCAGCATGAGCACGCCATACCTCGTTGTACACAAAAGCAGCTGTCAGTACATGGCTCTTGCGATCGTCAGGAGCACCACTCACTCCAACTCAGTCTCCTGACTCAACCATGAGTAGCTCAGACAAACCAGGACGGGCCGAGCTCCGGAATATCTAGAGTCACAAACGAATTTATCCGTTTCAGCAGAACTGGCAACAAGTTCAAGAAAAGGCGATATGCCTACTTTTTAAAAGATGGCTGCAATGAGATGATACTTGACGGCATAAGCTAATGACCCTGTCATGTTCTGGCTAAGAAAGCATGGCCCAGGCAACATACCGCAGTTCCCTGATTAGTCGCGTACAAGTCGCACCCCTCGTGTTAGGGTCTCTGGCATAACGTTTTAGTGTGTTCACTTGGGTAGGAAAGTCTTATGGTACTTAGAAAATGTTGAACAGTCTCTGATGTGATGACAGCTACACCATAGCTCAGTGGTTAGAGCATCGCTGGCCTCAAGCGAGGGTCCCTGGTTCCAGTCCTGGTGATGACAGTCAATTTTTTCTTCTTCAAACGTTCCCGTTTGCATCTTTCCCTCAAACCAATAGATACGGTACTTCTACTTATTCACTTTGGTAAGTATATTCACCCGCAGCATGATGGACCATTGTTTGTTTGCCCTCGTTTCATCCTCATAATATTGCAGCAACCAAGATTTCGTGGGTTCAATACACCTCGTGCACACCTTTCCTTACACAGAGGGGAAAGCCCCCCCCCCCCCCCCCCCCCCATACACACACCCAAACACACGTGTGTCATGATACACACAAACCAGGTGAGCACTTACCGAAGAGAAATCAGCCTCGTCGAACAGATGCTGCACAAAGCGGCGTACATGGATGCGGAA